TTCCATTCTAGCTGCTGTAGATACTGAAGCTCCATTCTAGAAGAAGTAGATACTGTATCTCTATTTTAGCAGCAGTAGATACTAAAGCTTCATTCTAGCAGCTATAGATATTGAAGCTCCATTCTAGCAGCTGTAGATACTTTAGCTCCATTATAGAAGCTGTAGATACTTAAGTTCCATTCTAGCTGCTGTAGATACTTAAGTTCAATTCTAGCTGCTGTAGATACTGAAGCTCTATTCTAGAAGCTGTAGATACTGAAGCTCTTTTTTAGCAGAAGTAGATACTGAAGCTCCATTCTAGAAGCTAGCTAGAGATACTAAGGCTCAATTCTTGCAGCTGTAGATACTAAAACTTCAATTCAGCAGCTAAAATTGCTGAAGCTCAATTTTAGCATCTGGAGATACTAGATCCATTATAGTAGCTGGATTATAAGGCTCCGTTCTTTCAGCTGTAGATACTAAAGCTCCATTATAGCAGCTGTAGATACTAAAGCTCCATTAGCATCTGTAGATACTGAAGCTCTATTCTAGCATCTGTAGATACTGAAGCTCCATTCAAACAGGTGTAGATACTGAACTACCATTCTAGCATATGTAGATACTGAAGCTCCATTCAAAAAGCTGGAGATTATAAGCTTCATTCAAACAGCTGGAGATACTTGAGCTTCATTCAAACAGCTGAAGATACTGAAGCTTCATTTAAACAGCTGGAGATACTGAAGTTTCATTCAAACGGCATGAGATACTGAAGCTTCATTCAAACAGCTGGAGATACTGAAGCTTCATTCAAACAGCTGGAGATACTGAAGCTTCTTTCGAACAACTGGAGATACTGAAGCTTTATTAAAACAGCTGGAGATACTGAAGCTCCATTCAAACAGCTGGAGATACTGAAGCTTCATTTAAACAGCTGGAGATACTGAAGCTCCATGCAAACAGTTGGAGATACTGAAGCTCCATTAAAAATGCTACAATGCTCCATTAAAGGCCACTTTATTACAAAGCTCCATTACTAATGTCTGCCGAGTATAAAAACAAGGACGTTAAGTATGTAATATCTCCATTAATATTAATCTGCATTAGATATTAGACAAAAACATCAATATTTGATATAATGTACAGGGTAACCCAGAAAGAATGAGACTTTTAGGACGACCTTAAACTATTTTCAAAAAAAGGTTTGATCGACAGCCTTGAAAATTGTTTTATTTAATGGTAAACAGATGCATAGAACGGAGAACCATTTATATTAAACAAAATCAGAACAAACCCTCATCCTTAGTGGGTCTCCCATGTATGTATATATATATTATCTACTTCATTTAGAGCATATTACAATCTTTTAAAACCTGTCAGATTTTTTTGGCACCTGGGGAGAGCAAAACAAATTTAAATGAATATTTTACACTTATTTTTCAGAAAGTAAAACCGAAAAATCTTAAATTTAAAAAGGATAAAAAAACTCACCCTAGACTATTTGTCTCTTAGAAGATCAATATATTATCAATACCCTGCTTCTGTATTCTATAGAGGCGCCAAGTAAAAACTACAGGGTTAACACTTAGTGAATTAAAGGAAGAGAAAAACAAAAACAACAAGAAATAAACGAGTTCCATGGACAATAATAGATATGTGTTATTGAAAGGATAAAAAACATTCATACGTGCACACAATGGGCCATAGACATTGTGAACTATATGGACGCTTTGGACAATAGACAAAATGGACCATGGACACTATGGACCATAGACATTATGGACTATACGGACCATATGGACATTGGACACAATAGACCATGGACACTATGAACCATGGACACTATGGACCATAGACATTATGGGCTATATGGACGCTATGGACAATGGACACATTGGACCATGGACACTATAAACTAGGGATACTATGGACCATGTACACTATGGACCATGGACACTACGGACCATGAACACTATGAACCATGGCCCATAAACACTATGGACTGTGGACACTTTGAACCATGCAAACTATTAACCATGGGCACCATGGACCATGAACCATGAACCTTAAACACTGTGGACCATAAACCTTAGACACTTATATGGACCATGAACACTTTCGGTCAAGAACACTACGGACCTTGAATACTATGGACGAATATTTCTCTTTTACTTAAAGTTTTAACATCTTGGACACTGGACCATGGACAGTGGACATCATAAGCCATGAACGCACCATCGATAAGATTGAAAATAAAAAATATTTTAAAATGAAAAGGTTTTATAATAAATTAACTAAGTACCCGGCGTAGCCCGTGCCCATTAGATTTCAATTTGTAGAGATGCCCGTAAATATCAACGTCCAGTTAATGAGGTTGTATTGTGTGCATTTATATATATGTAATAACAATGCTCTTTTGCAAATTTGGTTAAATATTTTTGATTTAAAAATAAATTGTAAAAAATAAATATGTATATAAAGTATCTGTATTTGCCTGTATGTTGTTTATTTGCATAGATGTCCGAACATAACTCAGGAACCCCAGGACCTTTTTGTCTCAAATTTTGATTTGGAAACTAGATAGAGCCATGCAAGGTAATGTACTCATATCAGTCTGGTTGGAAGATTCGAAGTTAAGTTGGTTGACTTTCGTAAGGAAAACTCCAGACAAAGCTGGGTTCCAAATATACATGTTGATTATGAGGGATACGAAGCCATCTATTTTATTTAATCCAAGGGTCACATTAAACATTAATTTTAAATTAAACACATATAGTACATTTGTTTATGACACTCTTTTATATCTAGCGCAGGAACCCACCTTTGCCTGCAAACAAGTTTACCTATAAAAGTCTACCTATACAACTTAACACTTCTAAACCAAGCTAAGAACATTTCTCTTGTTCTACCGAATTCCCCAAACAAAAGTTGTGGCAAATCGGTCAAGGGGTTCATTTCAAAGAAACCAACAGAGATTACTACTTTATATAAAATATATATATAAATGAGATTTTCTAAACTGATATTTTATAGAAGGAGATAGGCCTGGCTAATTGATTTTCAATAATGTTTAATTAAAGATAATACTATGTACAGGGTTTACATGGACAGTGTCATTATACAAAATATTGATATTAGATAATTAGATAGTTTTATAATTAGACATACATATATAGTTTAAAAGACAGTTTCGTTTTTTAAAATGCATTCCCTGCACCTGTAAACCATAACCTTAAACAATCTTAACATTTTTAACAATATCATCTGCAAGCCAAAATAGTTTTTGAGGGAAGCAAAGCAATAATTTTCTTGGGGGGGGGGGAAACTCCGTCCCACGGGGGCGGATTAAACCAATTGCTCAGGGAGGGGCCCATAAATGCACACGAGAGCGCGGAAAAAATATTTGGGCCTCCACCTACAGATTGAACAAAAAGCAGTAAAGGAATTGAGTCCTTGCCACAAATTCAACTTTAGTAACACCTATATCTCTTTAACCTTATGATGTAAACCTTTGATATTTCAAACTTACATTATTTGATCTAATAGCATTCATAGTTTGAAATATTAAAGGTCTACGACGGTTGCAAGGATATTGAAATTAGAAAATCAGAGTTTGTTACAAAAACTCAATTCCTTTCCAAGTTCTTGTTTATTATCGACACATTTAAAACAAATTTTCCATAATAAACAAAATGAATTTTCTCCTTAATAAAATAATAAGGACTTATGATCACAGAACAGAGAATATGAAAAGAAAGGAATTTCGGTATGAATTTTGTCAGTCCCTTTCAGTCTGAAAGGGAGTTTAAAGTGTACAATTCATGTACATGTTCACACACTATACACAGTACATTAAAATATCACATTATGATCCCTAGACATATCCATTACAATTTCTTGGTTTTATAAACAAAGAGAATAGAATATCTTAGAGTGGAATTTACTAGGAAAAAGTGTCAAACGGCCATTTCGTTGTACTGTTTCCATACTGCAGGTGTACTTCACATATTTGTGCTTTATAGACTTTTGGGCCCTGGAACATCATTTAATAGAAAATCTAAAATCAATATTAAAAGAAAACCAAATTATAAAATAGGCTGGTTTCATAATTGACCAATGATCATTTCACATAGGCTCTATGCCTTTCACTTCACAAACGATGATTTTCCGTTATAACTATAAATCAAATGATGTTTTCTATTCAACTAATTCATTTTATAAAGTTTATTTGACAGCTTTAAAAAATTCGAAATTGAAATGGATAGTCTAGGGAACATACTGTATTTATGTACTCTACTGCATATAATTTGTGAACATTTATGATTTGTAGACTTTGTACTCCCTTTCAGGCTGAAAGGGACTGACAAAATAAAATTCATACCGAAGGATTTTCTAAATTCCACTCTAATATATATTCTTTTCTCTTTGGTAAAAATGTAGGTGATCATCTATTCTTTTTTGAGCAATAATACTAATAATTTAATAAATCCTTTTTATTAATATTTAATAAATTTTGCGGTGATAAACAGAAAACTCTGAAATAGGAAGTTGACTAATTAAAGGATTTAAACTAGTTCAATGAATAAAGACATATGCGCAATTGTACAGTGTAAATGGATCCATTTCACTTTAATAGGGGCGTAAACAGGCCCGAAATCATACTACCCTCCCTTCACGAATTTACATTTTCCCCGGCTTTAAAGCTTGTAAATTTCATGTGTATTTACCATTTGTATCAAGTCAAGTATCAAGTCCCGCACCTACGCAATACGCATGTATATATATGATTCCTGGGACTTTTTTTCCTAAAATAATATGAGGGCTGCCAATAAAGTCTCAGGAAATAAGATCTCAGGAAAAAAAGTCCTGAAGAAAATAAATATATGTATAAAAAAAAAAGCTAGGAACCCAGGCAATACAGTTGTAGCAGCGAATTCGGTGTATGACCTTCCAATCACTTCTAACAACCATATATATACGCATGTATATATATATATATGCAGCGCAGCTCAGCAGTGAGCTGGAGCAGTATAATCCACTACGCTATACTTACAGGGTTACTGCGCCTGTAAATATATACACCTGGAACTTGAAGTTAACATTCAGCAATAAACAGTAAACACTCAATGTAAATAGTAAAAATTAAGAATAGTATTTTAAAAACTTGCTATTCTGTAATCTGTACTGTAAGCAGAACGCCTTGCAAGTTATATGCTGTGAACTGAAACATGTGATATGCTACAAGTTTACACCGGAGCAGGTTGAAAGGTTTCTAGCTTCCCTAGATACAGCCAGTGCTCCTAGTGATACATCCTACCAGGAGCGGGGCTCCTAGTCCTAGCATTACAGTTTTCTCTCTCTCTCCTTCTCATACTCGTTCGGGTCCTAGGAAACCCAGCTGTAACAAGAACTGGATGATTCCAGTATTCATCCTACCATTTCAAAGAACGTGTTTATACCATACAGTATACACTGTATAGTCAATCTTGTTTCTGCTCAATTCAAAACCAGGATTTGAATATCTCAAGTCCGAGCGTCAGAATCAAGGATCATGGTTTACTCACATAAACCTGCTTCGTTCCACCAGTCTCCTTCCCTACTCCAAAGTTCTGCTAAATCTTCTTAAATCGTTTTGTAATTAGGTAACTAAATTTATTTGTATATTTTCTATCCTAAAACATGATTCCCCCAGCTCCTACGACTCCTACCGTTCCTCTCCGAATAGCTAGCTATTGTAAATCATGACAGGCAACTGCAAGATTAATAATGTGGAAGATATCGCCGTTTTTCTGGCTGGAAAACTGTTTAATTTTGACATGCCACTATAAAATATAAATGGACAGTCGTCAGTCACTTAAACTTATGCCTCCGTACAAACAGATAGACAAGCCAAATTTATATATAGATATATAAATTTGGCTTGTCTGTCTTGGTGTTTGTTTGTTTGTATCCAATAAACGTCAAAACGGCTGAACCGATCGGGCCCAAATTTTTTGTGGGACATCACGTGACCACAGGGAAGGTTTATGAATGATCCAAATTTCAAAATTCGATCTTCATTAAATTTTTGAAAATTTTGAAAATCCACGAAATTTTTTGTGAAAATCCGCGAATTATTTTTGTTTTGTTTTACAACGTACACTTAAGGTACATGTTCACTATTAAATTTAGAAGATGGGCGCGAAGCGCCCTCTAAGGCTAGTAGATTATATTTCGCTTACAGTACGATTACAACTTGTGTTCACGGGTGGCGCTAGATTTTCGAAAATTCCTGGAAAATATTGTCTTCATTATCAAATATCCTCGAAACAATGAATGTTTTCAAAAGTAACTCTCGGATCATAAAAAAAATGAAAATATGAAATATCAACTTTATGCGAATGCGTTGAAAAAAAAAATCGATGATTATTTAGGTTGTAATATTTGAATGTTTTATAAGTTCGGAATTAAATTGATTGTTTTACAATCCGAGTCAAATTTGCAACTTTCTGAATATTTATGGATGCTACGTGATGGAGGAAAGACAAAAGCCGCACCTGTATAGCATCCATTCCACAAATTACTCACAAACATCGACTTGCGGGGCAATTTGTGCTCACCAGTAGCGCTTCCTTAGCCGCACCCATATATCTTCCGGCAAAACGTTCTTTACTTTTGAATGCTTATTAAAGAGGAATGCAGCGTTAATTTAAGATTTTAAAGACGTCAAGGCATATCTAGTATTACTTAAACATATTAATTATATTTTATTTTGGTTAATTGTTTGTTTGTTTGTTTGTTTATTTTGGTAATATAAGTAAACATTATCGCTCACTGGGGCAATAGTTGTTAAAAGGAATGGTGGAGATGTCCTATTTGATGAGGGGGGGGGGGGTCCCTGCCTTCATTTTTGGTTCAAATCATCCGATTTTTTGGCTGCACGCCTAATTAGTGATCTATTTGCCTAAAATAAAAATAATTTGACACTTATGACCTCTAATGGCCTTTAATGATCTTGACAATTAGAAATGGTTTGAACTATGGCTTCATGCATATTAAACTAAAGCTAGGAACCCAGGCAATACAGTAGTAGCAACGAATTCAGTCAGTGTTCTAATGACCTATAACGACCGTTAATGACCTTCAAATTGATAATGTTATAACCTTGGCTTAATGTATATCAAACGAAAGCTAGGAACCCAGACAATACAGTAGTAGCAACAAATTTAGTGTGTGACCTTCTAATGTCCCATTACGACTTCTAATGACCTTCAAATTGATAATGTTATAACCTTGGCTATATGTATATAAAAAAAAGCTAGGAACCCAGGCAATACAGTTGTAGCAGCGAATTCGGTGTATGACCTTCCAATCACTTCTAACAACCTATAACAACCTCTAATGCCATTTAAATTGATAATGCTATAAGTATTGCTTTACAGATATGAAATGAAAGCTAGGAACCCAAATAATACAGAAAAAGCAATGAATTCAGTGTTTGACCTTCTAATGACCACTAATAACCTTAAAATTGAAAATGTTTTAACCATGGCTTAATGCATATAAAAAAAGGTAGGAAACCAGCCAAGAAATAATATTTATGTATATGAAAACTAGAAACCCAAATATTACCGAAAAAGCAACGAATCAGTGTTTGACCTTCTAATGACCTCTTAATGACCTCAAATTACCTTCAAATTAAAAGTTTTTTTAAACTATGGCTTTATGCTTGTCAAATGAAAGCTAGGAACCCAAATAATACAGTAACATAACAAATTCATTGTTTGACCTTCGAATGATCTTGTAACAACCTATGACGACCTATAATGACCTGTTTTACTATGGCTTTATGCATATCAAAGGAAAGGTAGGAACCCAGGCAATACAGTAGCAGCAACGAATTAAGTAATTGACCTTCTTATGACCTCCAAATTGAAAATTTTTGACTGGTTTTATGCATGTCAAGTGAAAGCTAGAAACCCTAATAATACAGTAACAGCAACAAATTCAGTGTTTGACCTTCTAATGACCTGTAAGGACCTATGACAACCTTCAATGACCTTCAAATTGAAAATGTTTCAACAATGGCTTTATGCATATCAAACAAAAGCTAGGAACCCAGCCAAGAAATAATATTTACCCCCCCCCCCAGAAATTCGTTCAATATTTTTGACGTTTCTACTATTAAATTTTTTTGTTTGTTTTCACAGCAAGGTTAAAACATTTTCAATTTGGAGGTCATTAGAGGTCTTCGTTTGTCGTTAGAGGTCATTAGAAGGTCAAACAATGAATTCATTGCTGTTACTGTATTGTTTAGATTCCTAGCTTTCGTTTGATATTCATAAAGCTATAGTTAAAACATTTTCAATTTGAAGGTTAAAAGTGGTCATTAGAGGTCATTAGAATGACCTTCTAACAATGAATTTGTTGCTTTTACTGTATTATTTGGGTTCCTAGCTTTCGTTTGATATGCATAAAGCCATAGTTGTAACATTTCAATTTGAAGATCATTAAAGGTCGTTATAGGTCGTTAGAGGTCATTAGAAGGTCAATTACTGAATTTGTTTCTTTTACTGTATTATTTGGGTTCCTGCATTCATTTGATATACATAAAGCCAAGCTTATAAAATTATCAATTTGAATGTCATTAGAGGTCGTTATAGGTCATTAGAAGGTCAAACACTGAATTTGTTGCTAGTATTGCCTGGGTTCCTAGCTTTCGTTTGATATGCATGAAGTCATAGTTGAAACAATTTCTAACGCAGGTCATTGAATGTCATTATAGGTCATAAGAGGTCATTTTTGTCAAATTTTTTTTTATTTTAGGAAAAAAGATCACTGATTAGACGTGCAGTTAAAAAATTGGATGATTTCCCACCAAAAAACAAGGGGGGGCCCCCCCCCCCCCCCTCCAACATCAAATAGGACTCCACCGTCCCCTTTTTTATTAAAAAATTCGATTTCCTCTTAACAAGTAATATTTTGTACATGACGGCTGATGTTTGACCGTCTCTAAAATGTTTTTAAGGGTAAGGAGAAATTCAATAACGCAGTTTTGCGTGCGATTCGGTTTTAAGTTATCTAAAATCAATTGCACGCAAAACTGTGTTATTTCTGGTAAAAATGCAAGTTCTCTCTTCCTTCAAAAACGTTTTTAGAGAAGAATAACATCAGCCGACATGTACAAAATATTATAATTTAGGAGAAAATCACAAGACATTTTAGCGGAAGATATATGGGTGCGGCTACAAAAGCGCTAGGGGTGAGCTCGTTGCCGCAAGTATGTGAGTAAATTGAAGGTTGGAGGCTATACGGGTGCGGCTTGCCTTCCCCACCTCGCTACATTCTTCTGTATGAGTCGTTTTAAAACATTTTCTCCTTAGACGTAACAGATAGAAGTAAGATTAGTGCAATCACCATCGAAAATTTTTCGACTTAAGCCTATACCCCTTTCATTTTCACAAACACTCCCTTTAAACTCAGAAAAAAACTTAAAAGGGGAAATTCCATTTGTCAAAATGGAGGTCGGTACGCGTCAAACTAAATTAAATTGCATGTAAGATTGATATCTTATATTTTTTACCATCAACTCCTTCTATTAAAGAGTAGTGATAACACAAATGTTTTGAATTTCTAATATGTGACCTGAGCTGAAAACTTTAGAATGAAATATCCAGATATCAGATCAGTCCTTTATCTGGAGTTTAAATTCATGTGGAGAACAAGCAATATTTAAACTGGATATTAAGAAAAAGAGTGGTTTAAGCCTTAATCCTGATATCCACCATTCTAAAGTTTTCAGCTCAGAGCTGAAAACTTTAGAATGTGATATCCTTAATCCCGATCTGTTGACTTATCTGGAGATTAAATTCATGAGGAAAACAAGCCATATTTAATCTGGAGATTAAGAAAAAGAGTGGATTAAGCATTAATCCTGATATCCACTATTCAAAAGTTTTCAGCTCGGATACGGGATAAATTTGCTTTTCTCAAACTTGTGCTCATTAAATCTATAAATTGGAGGAGGTACGCGGTTACAAAGTCGAACCAGTAATGTTGCTTAAAATGTACCTTCTCTTTCAATGTAGTTTGGTGTGAGTAGCCTCATATCAAAATTGATCTTTTTTTTTGTGTATAGCTAACCAAATTTATGCAAAAGCCCATTCTCATATATCTGAAACTCGAATCTATGAAAGAAAGTCCCGGGAAAAAAAGTTTCTGGGGAAAAAACCTGGAAAAAAAAACTTTGGAAAAAAAGTCCGAATTTTCTCAAGTCCTTGGAAAAAATGTCACTGGAAATAAAGTCCTGTGTTTTGGATTCCTGGGACTTTTTTTCCTAAAATAATATGAGGGCTGCCAATAAAGTCTCAGGAAATAAGATCTCAGGAAAAAAAGTCCTGAAGAAAATAAATCCTAGGAAAAGAAAAATCTAGAAATAATGTCTTAAGTCTCGGGAAATTTGAACTCAGTAAATTAAGTCTGCGGAAAAAAAGTCCTAATAAAAGTTATGTATAAAATCCCCCGTACAAGTGTACTATGTACATCATATACAGGGCTAGTTCTATATTCTTAAGTAATATGAAAAAGAAAATGCTAACTAAACTCTTGATAAATATATACATATAAATGAGGTTAAGTCTGAGAAGTTTTCATAAAAAGGACTTTTTTCCATATTGAATAAATATTTAGCCAACGGTGTTTAAATATCAAGCCCCTGAAAACCTATGATTATTGATAGGATGTTTACAACCAGGACTTTTTTCCATTGTGAATCATGCATTTTCATTTGTTAGAGGACTTTTTTCCGAGGACTTTTTAGTATAAAATCATATTGGAGCCAGAAAAAAAGTCCTAGAAAATAAAGTCTTGAATTGGTAGGACTTTATTTCCTGAGACTTTTTAATAAAAGGACTTTTTTCCACAGTACTTTTTTAGTGTGAAATTTTAGGACTTTTTTCCGGAAACTTTTTTCCAAGGATTTTTTGGCGGTTACCCTGAAACTCAATCTGGACAAAATATCATTTTTCCCAAAATCAAATTTTACATCATTCTCAATTTAAAAAAAAAGTTAAATCATGATCAGAAAAATCGCGTGAGGATAAAGAAAATGCATTTATTTTATTTTATGAATTAATTTTTAGAAAGAGTCAAGTTTTTTTTATAAAAACGTCCCTCCACCGACTCACATAATACTTCCTCAGTCTGACAAATATTACTTATTTTAGGTGATTACGCTGGTTTTCTGGTGATGGTAGAAGCACTTTTACTTTGTTTCTTGATGCATGCCCGCTGAATTAGATTCTATGCTCTAAAGAATATCTGGAGAACTAATTTTCATGTATCCTCTAGTATGCCTAAAGATTTAGATTCTATGATGTGCCTTGAAGTATAACTAGATCCTGAGAAATGCATTTAGAAAAGTAATCCCGGAGAAATATAGTAGTTAAGAGATGAATTCCACAAGTTGTGTATTCTGTAACACAAATGATCATGCCAGCACTAAGTGTCCTCTTATCTGTAAGCTATGTCAGAACTGGGGACACAGAACTATCAGCTGTCCTCTGCTTATCTGCAAACATTGTAAACAACAAGGACATATCAGGACTAAATGTCCACTGCTCAAGGAACAGTTCATTAAAACTAAACCTTTCATTCAACTTTTAAAATTTTGTTTCATTTTTTTAATGATTTAAAAGATGCCCTTTAAGAAAATGGCATGTCTGCAACTCACAAAGGTTCCCTTTAAATCATTGGATGATCAAGGATGTAAGAGTTATCTTTATTTTATTCACCTAAACGCTGTTAATTGTTGATAATTTTGTTTGCAAGCAGTTATATAGTTAAAAAAGAAATTACTGTAAAGTGTAATTTCAAGTGACCCTCTATGCAAAGATTGCAATTTTTCGATATACAACGGTACCTTGAAAAGCATTATCTAATCAATTATGAATTATATATCAATGTTTATAACTTTAAAAACTGATACAAATGTACATTTCAACTGCAGGAAAACATATAGGAGTTAACAGAAATAAACACTTGACACCAAGAAAAACAACAATATCTTCTACGTTATTGATAAGATAAAGGTTTCAAGGGTATCATTGTGCATCGGTCATTACATGAAGGGTCCCTTGAAATTACGCTTACAGTTCCTTTAATATGTAGTTTCCGGGAGTTACAGAATACAAATTCTTCAACAGAAGTTTTAGAAAACATGTTGGATTTAAAAAATTCGAGATTTTCGCAAAAACATGTCAAACTCGTTTTAGCGAGAAAAATACGGATTTCTCCGCTGTTGATGATCAGACAAATGTTTAAAGGGTACTGCTGTGAATCGGACACGGCACTTCATACATGGAGGGTTCATAGCCTTTTTAATGCTATCTCTTGTTCCCTAGCTTATTCTTCTTTCCTCATTTCATTTTTGATTAAAAAAATTTCTTGAATAATTTCAAATGAACCATGTTCACTGTTCAGGAACAGAAGGACAAAGGTTTGAAATTACCCAAAGCAAATCTTCCAAATCTACCAAATCTTCCACGGCCTGAACTAAACGATAAGAAAGGCATCCAAGGATGTCTCTCGGTCAAGAATTTGCAGGTTCATGCATTCTCAGTGGATGATTCTTCAAGCCCTGATACAACTTCCAAACCCTTTCTTTTTAATTCCTCACCAGCCATACTTAAACTGCCTGAGCCTAAGGCTGATCTCAATGCCAATACTAAAACTCTTGATCAAAACCCAGCTCAGGGTTCTTGCAGAAACAATAAATCACAAAAAAAATCTAGTCCTCAGCAGCATTGCCCATGCAAATCAACAGTGTTCGAAGTTGTTTGTAAATCCTGCCCCACATTCAATATCTTCGCTCAAGAAGATGTAATGATCACAGATTCTGAAGACTTTGGTGGAGATTTAACTATTCTTTGTGCTGTTCAAAATCTTCCTAAGAATAACAAATCCGTAAAAATATTCAAAGATTCCAAATATTCACTGAATGGGAACGGTTTTATATCGTCTCTCTCGGTAGATGGAAAACTTTTCCTCACTCTGAAACTATCCAAACCTGAACTGGAGGAAACAAGGTTCAGTGTGCACAAGGGAGACAGGATAGCACTGTGCCAGATCTCAGATCTAACTCCACCTCCAGAACCTAAATCAAAGGCAGATGTATCAGTCGTTGACGATGTTCAAATTCCTCCAGGTCAGATCAGAACCGTTAAACTAAGATTGTTGGATTTTGAATATGTTTCCAACGTGAAACCTGAAATCTTGCTTCTTCACTTTTCAACACAAGTTCCTGAGCGACCTAATCTTGTCATAAAAAAAGGACGTGTTTCACTACAAGAAGGAAACATTTTCCTTCTTCCAATTCACAATAAATCCGAAGTTCGCGTAATTCTGAGGAAAGACCTGGAATTCGGTCTGGTTGAACTTTATTTCAATTCCAAAATACCAAGATTTGAGAAAAATTTCATCATTGATCCCTCACCTCTGTTTCCTCAAACATCTGTAGATGCAGAAAATGATATTAAAGATGAGAGTGGTGATTCCACTGCCATTTTTACAGCCGAGTCTAATACTGATGAATATACAGAACCATTAAAATCTGAAGTGCACCTGGAGATCAAGAAACCTTCAGCGCAAGGCCAGATCGAGAAGAAGAACGAACTCTTAGTTTTTGTCTCCCTTCAGCTGTTTCAGGTTGGACATGGGAACTCTCAAACCACAGAAACTAAAACTATATCAGTTCAAGTTGAAGATGAATTCAAGAGTTTTTTTGTAACTCCCTTGTCTTACATTAAACGCTACAATTCTAAAGAGCTTGTCAATCATGGATACCGGCTAATAGAAAATTGCTACTTTTTTGATGGCATTGAGAAGCATAAAACTCTTCACCTCAAAAGTGTTATTAGAGAAATTGTAGATCTTGTAACAGGAGTTCAATCTTCCACTGGCATTTCAAACTCTAATTCATCTTTAGTTTTTAGAGACCGAAAGGAGTATGAATCTTTCTTGACGATCATCAAACAGTTCTCGGTTAATGAATATATCAAATCAATAATTACAAGGATATATTTGACCAATGATGTTTTGGTTCAGTACTGGCCATCCCCAGAACATCCTAAGGAATTCAATAGTATCGCTAAGACTGTTCTGAACCATCCATCAGCTTTCTACGAAGTCCCCTCCACTCCCTTTTCTGGCACTAATTTAACTAAAATGCCTTTGATATCTATCAATCTACCCAACCCTGTGAAGAATCCTTCCTTGAAGAGACAGATTGAGAAGGAACCACAGAAAAAGAAAAGATTAAAGACAACTGGATCATTATACAAAGAGAAATGTTGCTGTTATTTAAACCCTGGATATAAGGGTATAATGATGTGTCTAGTTCATCCTCCACTTAGTATCAAATCCCTGGTTGAGATTCAAATACAACCTAACACCTTGGAAACTATCCTGTGCAAGATAGAATACCCCTACCCTTCTAAAGATCCGCATATACCTAGCAGTATCAAGGTGTTTCCACTTATGTCTGATCAACCTTCCTCATTTTCTCTGGTTTTGTCCAATAAACCAAGGATTGCGTATGATGGTATGGTTTATCTCATTCTACGTAATTTGGGATGTAAACCGCTATTAATTGAACCAGGGACAGAATATGCTCTAGGGAATGAGATTCTACCAAGAGGAATTGATTTCAAAGAACCCTTGATTCAGGTGAATATACAGTAAGCACATAAAATAGATAACTATTGAAAAATATTGACTGGTTGGGGGCTAATTTCCCAAGGATTGTATTTATTAGATTTTTATTCACTTGAAATGACAAAAAAATACAAAAAAAAGATTTTCTTTCGTTTTCCAGAAGATACCTTTTGGTTTCACTGCAAGCAAACTGTGCCATCAAATTTTACTGTTTAGCATTGAGTTGTTTTAACACAATGTGTTTGGCCATAATTTTTGCACACAAAACTTTTGCTAATGTTTAAAAGCAAAAGTTAAGCAAATAAGCTTCATGATCCTTATTTTTTAGAACCAAGAATATCTATTTTACAAAAATTCCCCCCCCCCCTTCTGAAAATATTTCTATTAAGTTTAAGAAAATTATTAGACTTTTCGATAGCAGAATTTGTTCAAATGGGAAAAGCAAAATTGAAGTTTTTTAAATATCTTTTCGCAAATCATAAACCTTGTGCTTAAAAATAATAAAAAAGTAAAAAAAATGTTCTTTTTTGGTTCAGGTTTTGCATATATTTTCTCTCAGGGTCAAAATTTGGCATGGTGAAAAAAGCAAATATTTTGATTAAACAATTTTGAATTTTCTTAAACTTCTCAGATTGAATCCTCTTATATTATTAAAAATGATTTAGTAATATCTTATTTTTGTTAAGGAGCATGTTGCTTTGTTAAATCACCCTCCTGCTATACTTGATGATGAAGAAACAAGCATTGTTCTCTGCAAACCAGTTCCACCTCTACCTCAAGGTACACTAGTTGCAGTTAGAAACATTGAAACAAACTCATTCTTCTCTGTCAATGGAATCTACACCGTTCAAGAGTCTGGAAAACTTCCCATTAAGATAAAGAATTTAACCAAGTTGAAGATTTCTCTAAGTTCAGATCATATTGTCGGACATATAGTTACTCTTATGGACCACTCAGGAATGTGCTTTGTTCAAAATCCAATATTTGAAAGTGATAACATGAACTCTTTTGATATGGAGAAGCTAGAGGGATTGAAGAACTGTATTAAACTCAGAGATGCAGTAAGTCCTTGCTCTCATGCTGAAGCAAGTAGTGGAGAAGAATGTCCCAAATGTCCTATGTTTCATATCTTCTCAGTATGTGAGAAAACTATCCCAAGTAAAGGAACTGGTCTTATTGTTGGCATCATGTGCATGCTGGATAATTTTCCTGAACTAAACTTTGGTACAAGCAGAGAGAATTTTTTGAAAATCTTCCCTGAGCCAAAGTACTCTGAACAAGCTACACCAATTCTCAACCACTTTGTGAGAATTTACAACAATCAGTTTGTTTGTGTAAATGTCCTCAATGATACTCAGAATGAAATCACTATTTCTGAAAACTCTCTTTTGGCTACAGCACAAACTTTTAAACTGGATAAAAATATTCCCATACAGAGAATAGTCCGGTTTCATCAGTGTGAGAAGGTCTCAATTAAACCTGGAGAAACTGAGCAGGTCCAGTTCAGTCCTACACCAAGTATGGAGAGATTCTTCCTTGATGTTTCCTTGACCAAGCTATTAATTCTGACCTCGGAAAATCTCGGTTTATCTATCGCACAAACTCCAGCAATGGTTGAATCTGATTTAACCATGAGGGTCATGGTTACAAACAACAGTAGTAAAATAAAGGTTTGTAAATCTTTAGAACTCGACGCTTATTTCAATGCGTTCAATCTGAAAGATATGACCATACCAAACTTCATCCCTGTTCTTCCTGGCAAAATGGAAAATCATGCAGACAGTGTAATTCATCATAGGATAAAGTATTCGTATCGACTTAAAAATATAAATAAGTTCAGTTTAAAGCCACGCCAAGTACTTTCAGTCCTAACTTTAGTTGAAGATTTGCCAGAGTTTTGTAGGAGCATCTCTGTTCTTGGTGATTCAAAGTTTTGTGAAGAACAGGGGTTGTCTTTAATACCGTCCAGGCAGCATGTGTTTTGCAGACAGTTTGTTTTTGTAACCTTTAAGAATACTTCTGATAAGCAAATCAATATTGAGAACCAGGACTTGACGGTAGCTCTTGGTTTCCCTCTACCATATGAATCTAAATGCCAATTTACATCTGTTGAAGTTAAGGTCTCTGCTGACGTTGAAATCAAAGCCAAAGAAGATCTGATATTAAACTGCTATGCAAGTTTTAATGATGACGAGGATGAGAACGAGGAGATGAATACAGTAGTTTCTCTTGCTGAACCTACTTTTGAGAAGGTTGATATTACAAGTGTAGTGGAAACCATGCACTATGAGAGAGATACTGATACTACCAGAATAAAACTTGAAGTATCAAACTCTAGAGACACAGAAATCAAACTCCAATCTGGGGAAACTATCTGTAAAGCCTTTCCAATGATGTCGGAGCCATTTGTAAAACAAATACTGAAGATTTCTAATTTTGAATTCAATTTGAATAAAGGATCGTTACCTGTTCAAAAGAAGGTTGTAACAGCTGGCAAAGATGGTAAAGCTGTTTCTCCTGGTTCAAGAATAAGCTGTTCTGTCTGCAGAAAGATTACACATTGTGTGAAGTGTACCTCATGTCCCCTGTATCCTGTTTACACCGTTGGAGATGTCCAGCTTCTTGGCAATGGAGCAGTTACAGTTCTAGTACGGTCTGAGTTTCCTCCAGATCTCCAACCCAAGTTTGTTCAAACCTTCACATCTTCTCAATTCCACAGCACAAAGATTGCCAACAAGAGTCTTGGGATCAGTAAGAAGACTGTAAGAAAAATATTCAATTCTCAGTATTTCTTTCTCACAATTTTCTTCTCAAAGCAAGAAAAATATTCAGGATTTATGATTAAAAAGGGATTTCATATTGCTGACTGTCAACTGAGAAGAAAGGCTGCTTATCTTGACTCTGTATGCTGTGAGATGGGAGAGGATGAGATACTACCAGCTTTTCTTACCTGTGAGTTGATCCTTAAACCCGGAGAGAGCAGAAATGTTGAGTTTCAAATCAAGAATGACAAAGGTTTCCAGAATAAGGAGAATACTTACCAGCTCTACAAAATATTGGATGTTGACAAGTTGATGATCAAGGTTTCGAGCAGATTTTGTACAAGCAAGGGTTTAAGGTAAATTTTCTTTAATTTGATTTTAGCTCAATTTTTTACAAAATTATATAAAATTTTAGCAAAAATTCTTATATTTTTTATTTTAGGAAGACCATCATCAATATGACCAATGAGAGTAGTATTGATATTCAAATGAAAGGCAAATGCCCTATATTGTACTTGTCCAGTGTAATGAACAGTTCTGGTTGTAATGAGATACTGGAGATGGAAAAATCAAAACTTGAACCAAGACATCCTGAGAATCTCTTAGATTTGGTCTACAGCTATTGCAATTGTCTGAATGAACGTATCTCTGTAGAGCAATGTTTACACTGTGAACCTGTTCCTATCCTAGCATCCTCCAACACCTACCTGAGTCAAGGTGAAGTATACACCATTCTCTGTAAAATGGAGCTCCCCACCCAGTTCAAGAACTTCAAGCACTGCATCCTCAGTTCAACTAAATACAATGTTTTTTCAACCCAAAGGGAGATATTTAACCAGGAGTATGTGTTTGTAACAATAAAACCAACCCAATCTGTCCTATTGTGTAAAGGATCTGTAGTAGGAGGAGCAGGTATACGATCCAAATCTTCAATTCTTAAGAAACTCTCAGCTAAGGAGCATCCAGTATACCTGGATACAAGCCGTATTCTACCTCTTAAACCCGGAGTATACACAGATGTTAGACTAACAATCCCAGAAATGCATGAGCAGTTCTCTCAAACCGCAGAGAACAGGTTTGAACCAATAAAACTGGTTGCAACCCAACTCCTTCCAAAGGATCTCTACCTTGAGAAAATATCTGGTATTCCTCCTGGCACCTGCACCTCATCAGACCAGAACCGTCTCCAGGTGCGGATATTCAATGCATCCTCCAAGATTCTTAACCTACCCAGAGATAGACCTTTGTTCCTTGCTGAAACCTGTTTATCCCCTGCAGGGCTAAACCTGTACCTGGATATGGCAAACAAAGTGCCTGAAGTAATGAGCTTAGATTAATTCTTGTCATGTTAAAGTTATACCTTTTTTTGCGATTTCAATTTTATTAAAAAATAAAAATAAATATTTTTTACATTTAAATTGTAAGTGTCATACTAAAATTTAAGATAAGGGGTGGTGGGGGGGGGGGTAAAATCGTAGATCTTACGTATAAAATCTTATGGTTCTTATCGATTCTAATTGATCAGTTTCTATTCTTCAATGGATAAATCTATAGATCTTCTCTTATAATTATTTATTTCTCTCTCTGTTTCTATCTGTCTCTTTCGCATTGTTATAAATTTTCGGCGACCACCTATTTAGGTACTTGCAGCAGGATTTTAGATTAGAAATGTTAAATCGCGTATCCGACGGTACTTAGAATCCTTTTTCATCAAAGTTTTATCAAATCAATTCAAATCTTTTCTTAGGCCACAAATTATACAATGTACATACATATAAATGCTAATTGAAAATAACTAACAATTAAAAGTATATTGTGGCCGGGGAGCTACAAGATAGCTCAGGCTGTTTACACATGAGCTCCCCTGGTTATGCTATATTCATGGTATAAAGTAGGATCCATAAAGCTGAGGAATAGGAAGTCCACTGTCGGAGCTATAATTTATTTAAATAGTCCAATGAACACGAAACAGAAATTATATTGGGTACCCATTTTCTTATGTTTTACGAAATTGTTTCAGAACAGCATTCACCAAACATTTCTTAGATGTCGTCTTCCTATTCCACAGCTTTAAGGGTCCCATTGTGGTACTAATTTTGCTTGAGAAGTTGCTGTCTTAGAAGATTTTTTTTTAACAATTTTCAACAAATCTTTAAGTCATTTTATATTAAACTTAATGTTTTAAATTTAAAATAACCCCAAATACAGGGTGTCCAAATAAACATGATAATTCAGTGACGAATTCGATATCGTCTTTTAAAATAATTCTTTGATTTCAGATTTAGTATAGTGATACCTACTGAGAAAGCTCTAGTCTGTAAGAGTTTCGTCTGCTATGGTTAAAATTTGTTTGTTTATGTTTTGACTGCATACCGTTGTACTTTGTAAAACAAGAAAGTTGCAGTATACAAACAGAGTAAACTTGTCCGTCTTCACTGTTCATCTTGCGGAGACATTATAGACACATCTTTACAGTCTTTTACCCTTTTCATAAAATAAACTCTAGCAGACATAATAATATTATGGCTTTTGAAATTAGGCATTACAATTCTAATTCATAACAAAGACGATATCGAATTCGTCACTGAATTCCCATTTATTTTGGTACACCATGTACGTACTCGACCTAGCCAGGTAAATAACAATCCTCGTTTTAATTATTTACCGTAAGGTTTCAATAAACTTCTAATTTAATTAAATACCGTAATGTTTCAATAAACTTCTAATTTAATTAAATACCGTAGTGTTTCAATAAACTTCTAATTCAATTAAATACCATAGTGTTTCAATAAACTTTTAATTCAATTAAATACCGTAGTGTTTCAATAAACTTCTAATTTAATTAAATAACGTAATGTTTCAATAAACTTCTAATTCAATTTAATACCATAGTGTTTCAATAAACTTTAAATTTAATTAAATACCGTAGTGTTTCGATAAGCTTTTAAAATGTGGGCTTCATTCTTAGTACTATAAAATAAGATGAAATATACAAACAATTTTTAACTAAAAACGAAAAACTTCTCTCTTATTCTGACTTCATCTTAAAGGAGCAAATATTGTAGATCCCATAAAAGCCCAAGGAAGTTACTGCGCATGCCGCGTTGAACTACAGGACAGATAGAAAGCCTGTTCTTGCCGCGGTGCTTGGCCCCTTAGCCTGTCTTAACCTAACCTAACTTTAAAATAACTAATCTCTCGCTTCTTGTAATTTAATGAAGTGCACGTAACTTCCTTGGGCAACTGCTTGAAATTCTCTAACCCATGGCTGGAGAAGGCAGGCGTCCATGAGCCACATCTATTTCCCTTCCATGTCACAATTAGTTTGTATGTCTTCCCACCCTGAGCCTCAAGTCTTCCATGCCAAAACAATTCAGTCTTTCAGCGTTAATTACTATTTTTAAATGGTAAATTTAGTTCTTTAAATTGTGATTTTCAAAAATTCCAGCCATTATGGGTAAAAGATTACTAAAACGAATTTTTTTAAAATCTTACTGAAGATAAATAATGTATGTGCTGATTTGTTGAACTGCTTTAGAGATTGCAACAGATAAAGTCCCTTTACGCGATGGACAAATTGTTAGGGGTAGTAACAGGAGAATAAGAAGAAATTAGAAAAGTCGGATCATTTTCTGTCAAACCCTGAGCGTTACAGATTTCCAAACAAAAACATTTATTTTGTAATTCTTACTAAATAACGCGATTTTCGGCTGGGGGCACAAAACATGCTTTGTTGCATTGTTTTTATTATTTACAAGGGTAGGTCAAAAGGCACAATTTTTGAGGAAAGTTGACATTTAAAATTATCATCATTGTTTTAAATGAAAACTTGGTTATAAAGATACCTATATATCATAACTTGACTTTTAAAATCTCAATTTAAAAACACTAAATTAACCATTGAAAAAGTAATGAGGATATGGAAGACTGATTGGTTGTGCCTCATAGGCGCCGGTCTTCCTTTCTTTTTTAAAAGCAAAATAAAATATCCGAGATTTCCGAAAAACTAAAAACAACGAGCCTATATATTTATTTAAAAAGGTGCTTCTCATGCAGACAGATGCATTTTTTCATTAAAAGGATGAATTAAAATTATCTACAAAAATCACATAACTTCAAGTTACTCTCTATTTATAGAGTGGCTTGCCCGATTCACAACAGTACCCTTAAATCCTTTATCTTGTAAATAAAAGGAGATATCCATGTTTAGCTTTATAACATTTATTTTCATAATTCAGGCATACTCGTCTTTAAATAGAAGGTAACTTAAAATATAACGACAGAGCTGAAAACTTTAAAATAGTGGATATAGAGATGAATGCTTGATCTCCTCCTTTTTTTTTAAATCTCCAGATTAAATAATGCGTGTTCTCCCCTTGGTATTAATCTCCAGAGCTGAAAACTTTAGAATGGGATATCCTTAATCCCGATCGGTTAATTAATCTGAAGATTAATAACAAGAGGAGAACAAGCATTTTTAATCTCGAGATTAAGAAAAAGAGTGGATCAAGCCTTAATCCCGATATCCACCATTCAAAAGTTCCCAGCTCAGATTAATTAGCCGATTGGGATTACGGATATTTCATTCCAAAGTTTTCAGCTCAGTCCGGTTAAATAGAAAGCTGTTCTCTAACATCATGGTGCTCATTAAAAATAAATAGTTAATTTAGAAAATATATTTTGCCAAATATTTGGATCAAAGTACTTGCTTCGACTAAAAATCAAATCAAGGAAATATCTTGCATTGGTACTTTATGATGCTTTACTATACAAGAATGATCTTTCAATATTTGGATCACATTGTTCGTACAAAAAAAAGCTGCCAAAATTAATAAAATTGTATAAACATTAAAAACTGAATGTGGAAAAATGTTGGTTTGAGACAGTATGAAAATTTACGAAAATATGAATCTTTTTAATATTTGTATAAAATTATTGGTTAAAAAATGACCAGCTGCTTAAGCATGCAATGAAAAAAGACAGTTTTATTATAAATGTTAAAGATCAAAATAAACATAGTATTTTTATCACATTATTGTTGAAAAAAATAACAGCTTTTATTAAATGCAATTGTGAAAGAAATTGTGTTAAAATATCCAAATAAACATAATAACATGTAATAATGAAATAAATTGAATAATCGTTAAAAAATGACAAAACAAACATATTATGTAAATTTTTGTGATTTAGATTATCTTGTAATATTTTTTTTATCACATTGTTGGTAAAAAATCTCGATATGATTTTGTACTTAAAATGGAAATTTAGAACTAATACGATCTTTTTGGTAATAGGATAATATTCTTAGTACAAACAATATTGGGTATTATCCATGTAAAAAATGGTATAAACGTTGAAGATCAAAAATATCTTGCTTTATTAATTAATGCAAAAAGAAAATATGTTTATCTTTTAATAATTTGATCACATAATTTGTACAAAAAATACAATGATAAAAAACAAATGGTATTGACGTTAAAGATAACATTCAGAAGGAACAAAAGAAATATATAATCTTACTTTGGCACTCAATGCAATTTTCAATATAAAGATACTCTAAATTATTCTTGAATCACATTATTGGTGCAAAAAAAAAAAAAAAAAACTGTATTTACGTTGATGATCATTTCCTGTGTTAAAATACTGCCTCTGGTTCAGCTACTATTTCAACCATTAATAGTGATAACTTCAATTTCTTCCGAATCATTATCTTGAGTTTCTCTTTCAACTGTCCTACTCCTAGCTGTATCACCATTAATAAAGAATTCTCCACCTCTTACTTCTGAGAATACATCTGGAGTTATCAATTCCACAACAGGAGACACTCTTCCGTCCTGCCAACATCTTCCTGATTTAATATTTTCCACAGCTCGAGACTCATCATCAGAATCAATAAATATTGAACTATTTTCCTGAATAACAATGCTGGTAACTCTCTCAGACCAAGGAGTATAGTCATCAAGGTCTTCATCTTCATCAGTGATTGTTATAGTTTCTATATATTTGTCGTCTGGAGATTCCTGGCTTGGAATCAACTGGTTGGTTGCACTACAATACGTTTCAACAGAGATAAAACACAACTCAGGGATTTCTGTTTGCGTGGCTTGATCTTGACTAGACTGACGAGGGGTTGCTGGCTCTCTTTGGACTATACCAATCTTGTCACGTTTAGATCCTCTCTTTTCTTTTGTACTTTCTTTAGGTTGGCCAACTCCTCTTGTTCCTTTAGTACTTTCTTCAGGTTGGCCTACTCCTCTTGTTCCTTTAGTACTTTCTTCAGGTTGGCCTACTCCTCTTGTTCCTTTAGTACTTTCTTCAGGTTGGCCTATAACTCCTCTTGTTCCTTTAGTACTTTCTTCAGGTTGGCCTACTCCCCTTGTTCCTTTAGTACTTTCTTCAGGTTGGCCTCCAACTCCTCTTGTTCCTTTAGTACTTTCTTCAGGTTGGCCTACTCCTCTTGTTCCTTTAGTACTTTCTTCAGGTTGGCCTATAACTCCTCTTGTTTCTTTTATACTTACTCCAATTTGGCCTTCTCCTCTTGTTCCTTTTGTACCTCTTCCATTTTGGCCTACTCCTCTTGTTCCTTTTGTACCTCCTCCATTTTGGCCTACACCTCTTGTTCCGTTTGTACCTCCTCCATCTTGGCCTACTCCTCTTATTCCTTTTGTACCTCCTCCATCTTGGCCTACTCCTCTTTTTTTATTTTTAGTCCCTTTCGGTCGTCCCACAGCTCTATTCAAGCTAAAAAAAAACTATTGAGCTAATTCAATATTGATCTTTTTTAAGTGCAAATATGATACCTTGATTTTGCTTGCAGCAGTTTTATAGTCTTTCCATGCATATTCTTCATGTGCTTTTCTAAACAGTTTTTATGTGAGTAGTTAAAAATCAAATTATCAATATGTATAAAAGTAGAAATCTATTAATGCATAAAAATGTATAGCAAGGAAGGTCGATTTTACTTTTTATTGAAATCTTAATTCATTAACTTTTCGTCAATTTTATGGAGCATCAAAATTGATCAAAAATAGTTTTTTTTATGTTTAAGAATTAATCCGTCTAATTATGAATTCAAGGTTGCTAAGTTCAAAGTTTTATATTTCTGGCCATACAGTGAAGCCCAAAAAACTGTGGAACTGGGGATTGAAGGACAAAATTTACTGTACTTTATTGTACTTGATGTTTTTTACAAAGCCAACAGTGTTACAACTATATATAGCTTGACAATCAAATCATAGTATGAAATAGGTCTGTGTACACAACAATACACAATGACTGTGTTTCAAGTTCATTTGACTATTTTAAACAATAAATGGAGTCCACACAAAGGAACTGAGTCTTTGCCAAAAACTCTGATTTTCAAATCCCTGTAGCTTTTCAACTCAATGTCATAGACTTAAGTTATTTTAAACTCTGTAAGATAAAATATCAAATCAAAGTTTGAAATAACAAGTGTTTACACCATTAGGTTGTAAAGATATATGAATTATAAAATTTTAAATTGTGGCAAATTCTCAATTCCTTTAACTACATAATTACCCATTGTTGATTCAAAGAAAAGTTCTTTCGCGCAATCAGGACAAGAAATAGGAACAAGAATATCTTCTTCTAAACCAGGATATTTTCTTCTTTTAGTAGGGTTGTCTTCAATTGAACCTCTCTTCTTCCGTTTTCTAAAATCAAACGATGATAAACCCTACAAATCATGCTGAGAAATGAGGAGGGGGCGGGGGGGGGGGGGCGTTTTCTTTAAATAGGTTTTAACCCTCCAACTATGTAGGGTTCAGGAGTACATCTAATAATTCTAATGTTTAAAGAAGGGTACAAAATTGTCAGGTAAATAGCTTTCAGAAAAACAGCTTTTGATCTAATACTTCCAATGAGATATTGAAAACCCTTTAAAACATCTTTAATATTAAATGTTTCCAATAAAAACTTTTATCAAAAAGAATTGATTCAATGATGAGGAGGAGGGGGGATTGTTCTTAACCCAATGCCATCTGCCTTACTCCAGTACCTTAGCAATGTTTAGGTAAATCAAATAAATCATCAGTACATTTAGAATCAATAATTCATAAAAAGGTAAAAAATTAAAATTTACCGTGGAACACAACTCTCCTCTCCACTAACGACCTTGTTCTCTTGTTTCTTGGTTTTCAGATCTTTTCTCTTCTCCTTCCTCTTCCTGTTCTCCAAGCTGCTTCTGAGACTCCTGTTCAGGGAGTAGATTCTTCTTCTAGAGGATGGAACAGGAGAATCCAACGTAGCGTTTTCTTCACCTTCTCGCATTAAGGTCTGCAAAGGGAATGTAGAAGAGTGTTCAGGGTCGACGTTACAATCGTCACATATGTAATCCTGAAAAAATAACTCAAAATTATGTGACTTTTACAATTGTTCAGAATTATCAGGAAGATTAAGGAGCTTAAACTGTTTTTAACTTTATATTAAGTCCCTAATTACTTATAGTAATAGCAGTCATACAAAATAAAATACTTAACTAGCTTAAAAAAGTGTTAAGATTTATTTTAAGACAAAAAAATAACGTTCTTATTGAATCTGAGACGTTAATACAATTAATGATCAAAAATTAATGCTCAAAAAACTTAAATATGGTTATACACTGTAGAGTAAAAAAAAGTAGATGTTAGTTCCACATTTATTGAAAATATATTTCGGTCTGGGTTGACCCTCGTCAGTTTTAACGGTTTAATAACCATCAAAATGGTTTTACACTTAAAATCCGATAGGGTGATTAGATGGATTGGTTTTATTAGGATAAATTACCGGAGCATGCATATCAAGGTTTCCGCAATGGATATGAACAGGATTCCCTCCACAGCTGTCACATTTCATGAGTTCCCAGACAGTTCCGATCCTACTCCGTCCTACCCCATCCTCGCAGGAGCAGGAGGACGCAACACAGCTTAAATCAGGGTAATCCACATATCTGAACGTACAAGGTTACCCACAAAGGAAGAGACTGTACAGAGGACTCGAAACTTTTTAAATTTGGCGACTCCGAGGTTATATTAAGTCTTCGCCTTGAATATGATCATTTAATGGCTTATTCAATGATTAGGTAAAAAAGAAACAAGTTTACATAAGATTACAATGTTAAGCAATTTTCTTCCAAGAATGGTTTGTATTGGTAAAGTAGCTCTTCATTTTTTAGGACCATAAACGATTAACTAAACCTTACCCTGATTGACAATAACGTAATGCTTGCCAATTATGAGTCTAAATTCATAACTAATTTCAGTGATCGTTTTTTAAAAATAATCTATTCTGAGCTGAAAACTTCAGAATGGTGAATATCAAAATCAATGCGTGATCTCCTTTTTTCTTGATCTCCAGATTAAATAATGCTTGTTCTCCTCTTGTTTTTAATCTCCAGATTAATTAACCGATTGGGATTAAGGATATCCCATTCTAAAGTTTTGAGCTCTGAAGATACAAAGTCGTCGGCCGCACTTAATTAATTTTTTAAATCGTGGATGCATTTAAAAATTTTAGATTTAAAGTGTACTGATGTCAATCATTAATGAAACTTTATTTTTTAAGGGTCACTAGAAAGTTGCAGCGTCACATGAACTCCAAGGTCGAAACTTTTAAGTGACTAATTTACAATTTTAATCTCGATAACTAATAGCTTACCGCTAACAAGTTTTAAATTTGACACCTCAATTTTAGTTATCCTTCCATGGTAATACGACAACCACGGAATATCCAATAGAAATTAATTTAATCTGTAGAATTAAAAAGTGAAGATGATACGAACAAATGCTTGAACTGAGTTTTGATCTTTGGTAACAAACTCTGCCGCAAACTCTGAATTTCTGATCCCCATATCTTTGCACACCAATAGACCTTATTTCAAACTATGAATTATGTGGTATCAAACAAACTAAGTTTAAAATATCAAAGGTTTCTACGATCAGGTTGCAAATATATAGATAATAGATTATTTGATTTTGTGGCAAAGACTGCATTCCTTTACCTGAAATAGTCTTCAGTTTCCCATTTGGCATCTTGTACAGGGATATATATTCCACTATCAGAACATTTCTTCTCAAACTTATCTGTATCAGCACACAGTGGACATCTGCAAATATAAACTAAATAAAGGTTGTTAATTAAAAACAAAAAACAAGATGGTAAAACTCAAAATTAACACCTTTTATGTAAAGGCAGCGCCCAGAAATTTTCTAAGAGTTCATTATAAGATAAATAAAATCTTATCAATTCTTTTTCCTTGCATTTAGATGCTTTTAATGCTAAAAAACCAGAGCCATAACCCTAAAAAGAGCATTTTTTGCTTGAACCAGTGTTTCAGATACATTAAATTTTGATGCGGAATTGATTCCGGATCCCCCCTGGAAATAAAGGATTCGGATACAGGTCTTGGACATTTCTTCAAGATTTAATGATATTTAACGAATGAAAAATGCCAACACAAATTTTCTATTTTCCCCGCTTATCTTCTATTTTCTCCCGCTTATTTTCTATTTCCCCCCGCTTATTTTCTATTTTCCCCCGCTTATTTTTATACTGAAACCATTCAGAGATAAAGAAGTTTTAATAATCTCTCGTTAGTGAACAATTGAGATTTGTATTTGGAGAGCAAACATGCCCCTTGGATCCGGGATATCAAATTTTAGCGGATTTGGATCTTCGCACTATGCAGCCTAAATATACAACTTATCCGGATCCTAAGAACTTGTTTTAACGTATAAAATCCTCCCTTGAATTCCGACTAGAACCTACTTGAAATGATATGATCCTTGAGTGAGGGCTAGTTGTTGAATACATGAATGATGAAGATATTGATTACAGCAGGCAGTTTTGATACATAGTTCACCAACAACCTAATACAAGATATTGATTACAGCAGGCAGTTCTGATACATAGTTCACTAACAACCTAATACAAATTCATTTAGCACGATAGTAACCGTATCTGTCGTTGAAACCAAATTGCTTAAAGGGACTGTAAGCGTAATCTAAAGTGACCTTTCATGCAAAGATGGCAATGTCCGATTCACAACGGTACCCTTTAAAGCTTTCTCTGATCAAGTATGCATTAGATATTAATGCTTAAACTTTAGAAAACTGATTATTTTCTATTGTGGTTTCATAGCGCAATTCTAGATACTCTTTGTACGATTTTTTACTTTTTTTTCTGTAATAAGAATAAACAAGGCTAACCTTTTCCATACAGATAGGACAGTCCAGGTTAGTTTCAGATTTTCCAGGTTTATTCCAATTACTATGCTCAGTACAGTAGGCCTGATTCGTTCAAAAACATAAAATAAAAGATTATCATTAAAAAAAAAGGACAAAGACGCAAAATTTGTATAGCAAAAAGGCTCAAACGTTCTCACTGGTGGATCGTAATAACATCCCTTATCATTAAGTTAAAGATTAAAAACAAAGAATTAATTTTTTTCCTAATTTCACAAATCCTAGTTATTTGCTAACATTTAACTGACTATTATGTGTATAAGTTTTAAAAATGTTTGTATAAAACATACATTTTAAAACTAGTTTCATTTTCAGATTAATTTTACTACCTTAGAGGTGTTTTTGAATACAAATTTATAATTTCGAAGATATCCACAACAGAAATGAAAAGTTTTTTTGCAACCTTTCTTCCCACATTCTATAGTCGCTCCCTGAAAACCGAGCAAAGCTGAAATAAAAGGATATATTTGAACCCATAAAGGGGCTACACTCTGTAAGTGTAATTTTAATTAACCCTCCATGAAAAGATGACAATGCCCGATTCACACCTGTACCCTTGACAGCTTTGTCTGATTGTATTTGAAAACTGTTTATTTTGATTGTTAGTAATCCTATTCTGCAGTTTTTCAAAAACATTTCCAAACTTTTAATTTATAAAAAAAATAATATCATTAAAATAAACAATTTTAGAAAATAATCAAGTTTGCATCTGGGTTCCTTGAGAGCGCATATTCCGCATTTTAGTTGATCTCCTCTCCTGATTTCTGACAAGATATCCTTGAGGATCACGGATTTAATAAATAGAGAACAAGTTTAACCGTGTAAACGTAGTTGAACCATATACACGTAGTTAAACCATGTAAACGTAGTTGAACCATATACACGTAGTTAAACCATGTAAACGTAGTTGAACCGTTTCTCTTTAGCTTGACCCTACGCTGAAGAGGAACAGTTCAATTTGTCTACACTTCTCGCTATTTGTTAAATTTAGTCCCTGAGGTAGAAATCCAAACAAGCCTTCATCATCCGCCCCACGCTGCTTCCCCTAAACACAGTATAATTAAAATCCTCTATCATCCGCCCAATTGCTTCCATTGAAAACAGTATATTTACAATCCTTCATCATCCGCCCCCATTGCTTCCATAAAAACAGTATATTTACAATCCTTCATCATCCGCCCCACGCTGTTTCCTCTAAACACAGGATAATAACAATCCTTCATCATCCGCCCCACACTGTTTCCTCTAAACACAGGATAATTTCAATCCTTAATTATCCGCCCCACGCTGCTTCCACTCTGAGCTAAGATTTTACTCGGGTTTAAGCTTTTAATATAGCTTTCAGAATACCAAAGAGTACCATAACCGAGAGTTAAATTAAATATGTGACACTCGAAGGAACTGAAGACATAATTCTAAGTGACCCTCTTAGTCAATAAGTGGCATGTCCTATTCACAATGGCACCCTCTAGACTCAATAGTCTGTGCAAAATTTATGCAAAGTTATCCCTCTTTTCATATCTTAAAATTAGATTATTTTCAAAAAGTAAATTGTGAAGTTATGCAACAGTAGAGAAATTCAACACTTCTCCACGACATATTCCTTATATTGCTCAGATAAAGGTCTTATGAGTACCGTAATAAAATACATGATACTCTATAAATGGAGACTGGAGTCATTTAAAATTAAGTCTATTACTTTAAAGAGGTTGTCACGTTCGATTCAAATAGAACCATTCAAGCCTTTATCTGAGTCGCAATGAGAAGGATGTTGTTGGTTTTCTATCTTTAAACAGGAATTAAATTCTGTCGATTTACGCCTTGTCGCTCTAATGTACGGGAGGGGGGGGGAGTATAAGAAGAGAAGCAGCAACTGAAAATGATGAACTGTTAGCAATTAAAACATAGAAAATGAAAATCATTTCTTCCCAGACAAAGGTTTCTTAGGTCATCCCGTGAATAGGGCATTTACCCTTTAAATGATGCTTCAAAAATGCAAAACTTAAGAAATCTAAAAAATATTATTTCAGAGAATTGTTTTTTGTTGTGACTTTTAATCTGAAGGGTCACTTGATAGACCCTCAAAACTTTTTACAATGGAATAAGTAGACGACATTTTAGCAATCTTATGTGTTTACAATGTAGTTACAGAGCAAAAAGTTTTATATCTTGAAAATCAACTCTTTAAGTGAAATGGGTCTGGGTACACTGCACAATTTCTGTGTTTAAAGTTTATAGGACTATTAAAACTCTTTACTTTAGTTCTCTTCCTATTCCACAGTTTACTGAGTCCTTTCCATAAGATGAGACAAATTATACCGAAATTATCCTAGCATTACAGGTCTGGTGAGTCTGGTACAGCATGTGGTTACACAATACACAATACACATAAACGTGAAAACAAAGAGAAGCTGGCAATTAACATTTTCTCTTTGTTTACTTGTTAACTTGTAACTTTAAAAAGTTTGTTAGGAATAAAAAGTAAAACAGAACCTGGGTTGAGAAGAACATACAGAATTGATGAACAGTTATGTTCTTGTTTGTAAATAATCTCCCTCTGTTCAGCGAGTTCTGTGGATCCTGGATTCAAACAAGTTAGCGGTGTGTCATTACTCTGACCGATACACTTGTAGCTCGGGCATAAAGCGTCAGGCTGGTCAGGCAGGGTATGCAATTTTTGCCCGATTTTAAAATATTGAAAAAAATATTAAACATGTTAAACAAAACTATTTTGGAAAACACTCGTCTCTTTCAAAAGTAACAACTTTAAAAACCAATCTTTTATGCATAAAAGGGTTCCAGGGAAGAAACTCAAGATTTAGAGGGATCTTAGGATTAAGAGGGGTCATGGGAACTGGAAACAAGAAGTTCCTTTCTTCCATGAAACAAGATTTTATGGTAAACAATCTGTAACTATTTTTATAGATAGTTATCTGTATTTTATTTCTGCATTTAGACTTTAATATATAATAAGAATATAATAACGACATGAAACTCTTTTAATATGCCGATTACATAGTTTCACTTAGCTTTCTGCTTTGAATTATGAATGGCATAGTTAATGATTTGGCAATTACAACATTGTGTCTAAAGCTGCAGGGAACATTTTATTAGTGAACAAAGACATGTATAAATTCCGTACAGTCGTCTCGTCCTATGTGGGTAGCCCTGTTATAAACGAGACTAAGAGAGGTCAAACCAGCAACAAAGGTATTATTAAACAAATTGCTTGAATATGTGACATCATTCAAGTTTTTGATAAATGTTTGTTAAGTGCAGGTATAGATTTGTAATTTCTATTTTCAATTTAATTTTATAAAGTTTAATCCAAATCAACCACTATTTATTAGATTCTTCCAAAACTTTGTCTTAGCCCATTTAAACCAGTACATAGGATCCATTTAATTATGATGTGGATCCGGATCCTTGATCCGCACTAGAAAACTAATGGATTCGGATCCGGATCCAGGTCATGATCCAGATTTGATTATAGAGCAACAGATTTTTTTGCAGTTTTTGGTAGATATTTTGCCCCCATTGGATCCGGGTCATTGGATGGATCCGCATATTTTAAAGGATCCGGATCCAGGAAGCCAAAATAATGTGGATCAACGGATCCGAATCATTGATTTTAACGCAATTTTTAATATTGCAATCTTATTATACTTTTTATTATTATCCCATGATCATAACTTCTTGAATTTCAAACCAAAACCGAGTTCTCTGGTTATGTTTTACATTTGCATTCAGTAATAGACTTCTATTTAATATTTCCAACTAAATATCATTCTAATCCAAAATATTTTTCTATCTGAATCTACAACCCCAAGCAAGTACTAAAATCTCATCAGTTTTGTAACGATAAAAGTTAATTCCAATCAAATCTATTCAAATTCCTAATTCTTGATTTATTTAACCATTCCAATTCCTAACAAATACTTTACATTCGGTTAATTTCCATTTATTCCAAGTGCATTCGGAGGTTAGAACTTGAGTTGTGAATCTCTGAATCAAGCATTGATCTCTATCTTAGTGAATATCTGAGATGGAATTTAAAGAATTTGAGCCGCGGTTTAAATCTGCCAAAACCCGATTTAAATTAAGCGCCGGCTTAAATTTTGAAACATTTTACAATTTTCAGTGGAACCAACCATATTTAAGCCGCGGCTTAAATTTAAACCGCAGCTCAAATTCTTTAAATTCGGCCACTAACTATACGGATTAATCCGATATCCCGTAGTGATCTTTTAGCCCTGCAGGGATAACTTAAATAAAAGGATCAATCACTTATCTATCAGACTAAGAAGTTTTCACATGGATATTGAGATCAAGCGTTGTAAATATGATTAACAATGGAATTTGGATAATGTAGATAATAAGAACAAAATAAGAACTATTCCGCCGCAAGTCTACGACGGAACTTGGAACATGCGCTCCCTTGAAAGCTCTGCGCATTCCTAGATGATAAAAATGTTCAGAGACTCCTTTGGTGTTGAACGACATGAATAAGGGCATCACGCTCACGTTCTTTTCTGATGAGAGGAACTTCACACAGGATAATATCAACATGAAGCTCTGGGTCTTCAACAACCCCAGCGAAAATTCTCGTGATCATGTTTACCAATTTTATTGCAATCCTGATGGTCTATAGGTTCGCTACAATAAAGGGGAAATATAGTTATAACAGACTTAAGTTATTTCCCAAAGAGCACGACGCAATTCAAAAAATGTCACAAAAAGATGCTTTAAGCGGTAGATTTTATGCTTCAATAATCCATATACTTTTTTGACGATTTACCGCGTCCATATACGATTTTATGAACATTTATGCACCTATACACTATTTTTGGTAGATTTAATACGTTCATAGACTATTTGGATGGTTTCAAGCGCCCTTAACTGATTTTGGCAATTTTTATTTGCCTCCACAAAATAATGGCAAAACTTATACGACTAGTTTTCTTGCTGCAGATTTTTGATTATTTCTAAACCGGTTTTGACTAGCGAAGAAATCGAGTATGGAGTATTCAGTGACGATAAAACCATGAAGTAAGAATTTTTTCGTAAAACATTAATTTGAGGATTTTTTAAACCACCAATTTATTTGCTCCTGTATGGTGCTTCGCTTGCATAATTGACAGGTTCCTTTCGTAGTCTCAACAAAACCTTGCTGCTTTCTGTCTTTTCCAGAACGTTTCTTAGTCCTATTCTTGTTCTTAAACTGAGATTTAGATTTTGATCGTCGATCCGTCCCCGAGTCCGGAGTAATTTCAGTTTTATCTGACATTTTCTTTCTCCGATTTCCCATTGTTATCCGTTTTCTTAAAAAAAGTGAACAAATTAAATTAATAAATAGACTACAAGAAAAATCTGAAATATACTAATTATTTTTGTCTGAATTTTTGGTTTATATCTATATTTTATTGATTTTGTTTAAAACATTCACTGGATCAAGTTTACTTGAAAACTAGTTGGAATCACAATGGTTTAACGGGGGTTTGAGGCGGAATTACTACGAGATAAGGATCAGGGGAGGGAGGGATTCAGTAATTCTTGGCGAATTCTTCTCCCTTCTTTATGCTTCCGTTCAACTCCGGTAGAGATGCCTTCAGCAGATCCTTTAAAAAAATAAAATTGATTTGAGAAATCTTGGTTTTACAAGTATTGTCGGTTTAAGCCTAGACAAAATTATAAGTGGACTGGCAACATTTTATTTCGATAAAACAAAACAATTTTGATTTAGGGTTTTTCTTCATAATTAATATATATGTCAAGTACTTAGGTAAATTTTTAATCCAAATAGTTTTCAGCTAGTATTTGATTAGTGATTTCTAGTTAGAACTGATTAAACAATGACCATGGTTTACTTTACTCTATGTAACATTAATTACTTCTATTGTAATAAACTAACAGCGCAAAAGAATGCTGAAATGCGTTCATTCTATTTCATACCGAAGTTAAGTTCTATAATATACAATTTAAATCAATATAAAGTAATTTTTATTTTATTCAGTGAAGAAACTGAGTGATTACTCGCCTAAAACTCAAATTTTCTAATCCTATATCTTAGCAACCTGATCGTGTGAATCTTTGAAATTCTAAACTATTTAAACCAACAAAATTCTTTGTCTACAATATAAGGGGAATATATTTTTTTTTAAATCCCCACCCCCATTAAGAATATTAGGAATATTAAGGTTATTTTCTTCTTCTCGCTGAATTAGGAAAAGTAACCGATTTCAAGGGAATATTTGTTTACGATATTAAATTAAGTAAAATAAAGAAAACACTTTCCAATTAATGCATAAATTATTTTTCTGACTCAAATATTTGAAAATCAACGCCCTTCTTCAAAATAAACATGCCCCTAAGCAAACATCTAAGGATTAGAAAATTAGATTATAAAGAGGTAAGTAATCAGACCAGATTTAATAAATTTGATCCATGTCTCTATACTTAAGTCTAGAACATGTTCTTTTGATTATTAAGATTGGTTATTGTTGGACATTCTTCAGTAGCATAATATATAAATATCTTCTTAAAAAAGTCTTAGAACATTTTCTATCGTTTGCTAAGATTGACATATATATATATATATATATATATTATATTTAGTGTACCTGCTCGAATGGAGTAAGGTTTCCAAGACCAAGATTCTTCTCAATACCATTAGGTCCAAGGAGGAGAGGGGTGGAGAAGTATTTAGCTTCGGTAACATTGCTGGCAACATAGGCGCACTCAACAACACCCTCCTGTCCGCTCATTGCCTTGATGAGGGAGTCGGTGAATCTAGCCGCAGCATAGGCCATAGAAAGAGTAGCAGAGCCAGCACCAGCCTTAGCCTTCACAACCTCGGTACCAGCATCCTTGAACAGGAAGTTAGTAAATCAATAAACTACGAATACTTTCAATTAAAAATAATATTTTGAATTATTTTTCTCTCTAGGGGTACAAATTCAAATGCTAAATAAATTGGCCCTTCAAAAAGTTACTTATAAACAGAAGTTGCACCTTGGTTTTTTTAGAGGGGGGGGGGAGGTTAATATTCACAAAAAGTGATGCAATATTAATGTTAAAGCTTGATTCGGTTTTGTTAAATTTGATACATATCCGGATCCCGAAACGAACATAAAGTTATACATCTTTTATTCTTCATGTTTCTTCAGTTGGATTCCAGTGCAGGGATCCATTATAGATACTTTTAGGACATACAGGAAATCTGACGTCACGAAAATAATAGAAAAGTTGTAAAAATTCTAAAATCTAGAAACTGATTATTTGGCATCCTGGATCTAGGGCACCACATACTATTTTAGATCCAGATCATTCAATCAATAAGTTACAGATTATGTAATCGGCTACTTAATATATATACTTTTACTATTTCTAATGTTTTTTTTTAAAATCTATTTTATTTCATTTGCATTGCTCTGATCCCCGTAAAATGATCTTGATATGAATGTAATTAGAATAGTTATGCTTGATTAATCATTAGTATTTGATTTGCCCGGAGAATGTGGAAGATTTCGTCGTTTTTTTAAAGCTTGAAAAGAACTTATTTCCGACAATTTTATCTATCGATTCTGGAGCAGAAGTTACTTACTTTAAAAGAAAACCCACAATAAAACAACAAATGAAAAACATGGTTTTCATTTTTTAAAACAAAGCCACTCAATAAATGGAGTCATATGAAATAACGCATTTTGCCCCTTTTAAATTAAACATTATTATAATAATAGAAAAATATGCTTTGCCTGTCTGTCTGTCTGTTTGTTTGTATACAATAAACGTCAGAACGACTGAACCGATCGGGCCCAATTTTTTTTATGGGACATTGCGTGATCCGGGAAGATCTAGGGATGATCGAATTTTTAAAAATTTGCCTCTAACAAAATTAGATTTTTGAAAATTTTGAAAAAGCACAAAGTTTTTCATAAAATCCGCGAAATTTTTGTTTGCCTAATAATAAAAAAATTTTGATAAAAAAAATGTTTTACTTCGATTCTAATCATTTCATACCTGAATTCTCTCAGTGAGAGCTTTAAGTTCATCAGCTGGGAATTGTACAGCAGGGGTGCATTGGGAGATCAGGGGCATAATAGTAATACCAGCGTGTCCACCGACAACAGGGCAGTTTACACTAGCAGGGTCCAGTCCCTTCTTCTCACCTAGACAACATGTACTTTAAAGAAAGCTCACTCTCCACCAAACCCCACCGAAAGCTGTATAATATTAACTATCTTGGTCCCCAATCAAAATATGAGGCAAATCGGCCAAGGAGTTCCAGAGCTTTGATCGGACAAATTAATAAACTGACAATCGAGAGATCCCTACTTTTAGTATAAATATAATGCAGCAGAAATAAATATTCATGAATTACCCCCGCCCCCCCCCCAAATTTATTTTTGATGGGTCTTTATCATTTCCTCAGAATGATAACTTCCCATACTTGAAAAATTTTCCTAACCAACCCAAATTCAGCGATTTCCTTCATTTTAAATGTTTCTTATTGAGCGTTTTTTTGTTGAAGCGTTTTATTTTTAATAGAAAAATTCTCGTAAACCGTGGTTCAATTATTCGGAAGTCATAATTAATAACCTCACATAATGGGTAAAAATAGAGGGGCCGGGGGGAGGGGGGTGAGGTGAAATTTTCAATAATGTTGAACAGCTCCTTCTAAGGGATTTCGGCCCGAAAGTCGTCTTTACTAAACGCTATATTCTAGTGACACCTTGTGGAGACTAGCACCTACCGATGAATGTGTTGGCTCTGACAACATCCAGAGTGCTGACTCCGAAAACCTTGTTAGGGTTGTAGGTTCCAGCCTTCTTGAACATCTCGCTAGCGATGGGGACCGTGGAGTTGACGGGGTTGGAGATGATGGCGATCATAGCGTCAGGGCAGACCTTGGCGGCAGCAGCAGACAGCTTGGCGACAATAGATGCGTTGGTGTTAAACAAATCATCTCTAGACAAGAAAATGAAGTGAAAACCAGAAAACTGTTAATTAAATTTCGTCTTTAATTTCTGTTATTTACTAATGTTGAAACAAAATGCTAGGTGGTATTCTAAAAATAATTTTTCTGTTGGAAACAACAAAATCCTTGGCAATAACGCTCGCTTGCATTTCAGAAAAACGTTTTATCGGCAGCATCAGCAGTAAACTTTTTAATTTGCATATTATTTCATTATACTTGTTTCTGGTGGAGTCTATACTCTCCATTTTAAAAGATGATTTTGTTTAATTAGGAGTACAAGGAAAATACGAGTATGTCGTCATTAAAGAACATATTTAAAATAAATATGGTTTTCAGAGCTTGAAACTTCTACAGTTGTTGGATTAGAAAAGGAAATTCCCAACTAATTTTTGCCCTATTAAATCATAATATGGCGACAAATACTTCAATTTATGCTGAGACGCTTCGCGTAAAATTTCACTGACTGAATCTTGAGGGAAAAAATGGCATGATCTTTCAAGAGAAGTAAATATCATTGAAATCAATTTGGATAGTTAGGGTTAGTCCTAAAGCTTATTGAAAAGGGGCCGGGAGATTATGCATAAAACAGAACCCTGAGTTCTGAAACTAACACAAACCTTGTCATTCCTGGTTTCCTTGGAACTCCGGCAGGAATAACAACAATCTCCGCTCCGACCAAAGATGCCTCCAGCTGATCTTCGCCGACAAATCCGGTGACGGTGGCCTTGGTCTCGCAGTGGGAGAGATCGGAGGCCACACCCAGGGTGTGCACAATATCGTACAGGTTCAGCTTGGTCACAGCGGGGTTCAGTTTCAACAGCATAGACAGGGGCTGTCCAATTCCTGAAAGATAGAAATTTGAAGTAATTAAACCCCATTTTCTTTGGATATGAGACTCCCGATTTAGATAAGTTTGTGTTAAACAAGAGATACAAAGGAGTTTTACAATTACCACAAACTCTAATCTTCTAGTCCCTGTAGCTTAGCAACCTGATGGGAGAAAATCTTAATAAGTTGATTCTTTAAAACTATTTGATCCAGCACTCATCTTTTAAAAGTTCTAAGACATCAGGTTGCAAAGTGATTAGAAGTGTTCATTTTTTTTACATATTTTCTATCTTACCTCCGGAAGCGCCCATGACAGCGACGGCGACATTATTGGGGGAAGATGTGGCTAGTCCTCTGGCGAGGGTGGTAGCAGGCTGTTGGAATCTGGAAAACATCTTTGGACCTCTGCAAAATATTTCGATAAATAAAATGTTAATGCAATATTAAGGTTGTTACTTCATTTTTCGAAGATTTGTTCAAAAAAAATCAGAACATTAATGAAAATTAATCACTTCCCATCTTCCAAAGTTTTTTGATGTTTTTGTTTATACTAAATGTCGACAAGCTTCTTTTAAGAAAAAACCAGGGGGCGGGCATAACTCTCCTAATTTTGCCTGGCTAGGTTTTAACTGTACAGTGAAATTTGTCGAATAATGTTTCCTTATGACTGACTTGGTATCATAGAGTACAGTGGGTTTAATCCTAAGTACATATATTTGTACGGTATTGAGTGGACAGTTAATTTTAATATTTTTCAACAATGAGATATTGTAGTGTCAAAATTTGTGTAAACAACGATATATCATTTGTTATATTTATACATCAAAAAGATTTCCTTCATTTTAAATGTTTCTTATTGAGCGTTTTTTTGTTGAAGCGTTTTATTTTTAATAGAAAAATTCTCGTAAACCGTGGTTCAATTATTCGGANTCTGCTGAACTACAATATTACTGGTGAATACAAGTAGTAAAGGGAGTAAAGGTCTGCTGAACTACAATATTACTGGTGAATACAAGTAGTAAAGGGAGTAAAGGTCTGCTGAACTACAATATTAATGGTGAATACAAGCAGTAAAGGAATAAAGGTCTGCTGAACTACAATATCACTGCTAAATACAAGCAGTAAAGGTAGTAAAGTCTGCTGAACTACAATATTACTGCTGAATACAAGCAGTAAAGGTAGTAAGGTCTGCTGAACTACAATAAAACCGAATACTAGTAGTAAAGATATCTAATAAGCTAAAAAGGCAGTAATTATGCAAGACTGCTGATAGCCTGATAGTGATATAACTGAAAATGAAGTCTGAAAGGCAGACCCATGAAGAAAATGGCGAAATCCTGTAAACAGCTGATTTCTACTTATCTAGCTTAACCTGATCGACCTGATCCAAGGTCAGACATATATTATCAATTGATATTTAAACACACTAAAAAGGTGAATTTAATTTTCTCTAAGTATTTAAATTTATATCAAATATTTGTCAACATAATTATTCATAAGTCCATTATTAAAGTAAAAAACTGCTTAGAGTAGATGGCGAAAACTTCCTTCAATATTTAATCGAACCAAACGCATGTCGTCGCAAAATGTCATAAATAAAAAAATGTTTTAAAAATACTGTTTTTCAATTTGATTAAAATATATTTTGAATCAACTATAAAAAATAATAAAATATTTTTATAAAAAATACACCCACCCCTTTCCCAGGTTTAGCTAGGTTCGAGCTCATGACGTAGTTTCCGGAATTGTGATAATTCTCTTTATACCTCCTCATTTCTTCACTATACTAGATCCTGTCCCCGTTGCAAGAACGACATGCAGATCTTCGTCAAGACCCTCACGGGGAAGACGATCACCCTCGAAGTCGAGGCTAGCGACTCCATCGAGAATGTGAAGGCCAAGATTCAGGTACAGTTGCATAGTCGGGAACCTTCACGGGAGCCTGATAATGATTGCAACAAATTCAGAAATTTAATTATATTATTAATCTAGGATAAGGAGGGAATCCCCCCAGATCAGCAGAGATTGATCTTTGCTGGGAAACAACTTGAAGATGGCAGAACTCTATCTGATTACAACATCCAGAAAGAATCTACCCTTCATCTGGTTCTCAGGCTTAGAGGAGGTGGTAAGAAGAGGAAGAAGAAGAACTACACCACCCCCAAGAAGATTAAGCACAAGCACAAGAAGGTCAAGTTGGCCGTCTTGAAGTACTACAAGGTGGACGATAATGGCAAGATCAATCGTCTGAGACGTGAGTGTCCCGCTGAGGAGTGTGGTGCCGGCGTTTTCATGGCGGCTCACTTTGATCGCCAGTACTGTGGAAAGTGTGGGTTGACCTACGTCTTTAACAAGCCTGAAGAAAAGTAATGTGCTCTCTTGAAATACATACCTAAAACTAGTCTTAGATTGTTTATTACTTGCATTTTAAAGATATTGCATAGCTTTTAAGTAGCGCTACCATGGGTTCAACCATAGATCGTACATTACTGATCACAGACTTAAAGATTGGTTGAACTTAAGGTGATCATTCCAAGAATCTAGGCATGAACTTTTTTTTAACTAGACACTTCTCGATAAATAGAACTTGGTATTAATGACCTTAATTCCAGTTATCAAGTATGTACTTATCTTGATTCCATGATGCAAGCAACAAAAACTAATTTTAATTCTGAAGAAAGCACTTAGTAATTTGACGTTAGGAATATATACTTCATTATTTAGAATTTAGAAATTAATTAGTTACAGAGTTACAAGGGAGTCGTGTATGAAATCGTACAGATTAAATTCTGTACAGTTGTCTTTAATCTAACTATATACTAGAAAATCAAGTATTACATGATGTAATACTTAGATTACTTCCGAGCTTCAACGTCAATATACGCATTGTGTTATTTAATGAATTTACAGGGTGTCCCACGAAACATGACAATAGCAAGACGACCTGGAAGTCGTCTTTGGTATTTGAATTTATTTGCAACATTTAGTCTTGTATCTACTTTAACATGTATGATTCTTGAAACAATTATCACATAATTCTCCTAGCCCTGTCATTTCCAAAAAGTGGTCTGCGTTTTTTGTGCTTTCAATATTACCGGAGATATAAAGAGTTTGGTTCAGATTTCAATTTTGTTAAATAAAAGCAAAATTGTCGAAATCTGAACGAAATTCTTCATATCTCGGGCAATATTGAAAGCACAAAAAAGGCAGACCACATTTTGGAAATGGCAGGACAAGGGAAATTTTTTGATTATTATCTCTAGAAATTTACTTCTAAAATTAGGTTGACAAATAAACGCAGCAAATTATATCAAAAATCAAGACGACATTCAAGTCGTTCTGCATACTGTCATGTTTCGTGGGACACCCTGTATATGAGATTGCTGAAACCAACTGTCACTATTCCCATTTTAGAAGTGGATTTAGCATGCTTTTTGGTTATATTTAAACATTGCTGAATTTGGTTTCACATTTTAACCGTTATATCATTGCAAATAGAGATGTTAGCCTAACCCAAAAAAAAGTTTTCTACTAAAACATTAGGTTTGTATATCTGAAGTCGCGAAATTTTTTCTTCACCAAGTGTAAAATTTTAGAACATTACAAAAAAATATGCAAAATAATGCATTTTTAAACTTTTAGAGCTGAGAATGCAATTCAAGAGCTAAGCTTTGTAGGGTTTATTAATGGTTTTTAATTTTTTTCCTCCAGTAGTTGCTCCAATTCCATCTTTAATAGCTAGCTCCTTAAGTGTCAATATTGTAAGTATTGCATATTAAAAGTTTTGTACTACAAAACTATTAAAATATTTTCGTAAGTTGCAGTATTTGGTTGCTTCAATCTGGAATGGCACAAGGGTTGAATTAAAACATCTTGTATGGGATTTTCAAACCTAAAAATGTCGGGTCTGTTGCGTTCGCTGAACAGCTTGATAATCCTCGCTGAATAGCTTATTGATCCTCCCTTCGCTGAGCATCTTGATTATCCTCTCTTCGCGCGCTGAAAGCTTGTCGATTCTCAATAAAAAGAGGAAGAAAGATTTATGCCGGAGAATATTTCTTCTATTAGTGCTTGGGGTTAATATTAAATGGTTTTTTTAATGTTCATTCTTGTCGGATTTGGGTGGTTTTTTTATTCGTGTTTTTTAGTGAAAATAATTTAACCTTTTTTGTTAGGAATACTCATTAAAAAAATAGTGTTTTATTAACATTTTCACTGTACCAGCTTCAACGAGCTTAAAATGAAGTTTAACACTATAACCAAATAACGCAATTTATAACTATATATAAGTATATGATGAAATACGGCAATTTAATATGCTTTATAGCAACCTGTGTTTCTGAAGCAATGATGAATAATTTCCATTCTACTCATCCTAATTCTTGAATTAATTAGTACATAACTTATGAAAAGTACAGTTCACTACCATATTAAATAGGCAGATCGACCTTAGAAGTATACTACTATACAGTCACTCCCAAATTCTTCTGTCGATCTGAAAACAAAAAAACTTCCATTTATAAAAATAGCATGGCCGATTCAATACCATATCAATATCTTCAATAAATAATTTGTAAGACTCAAAAGATGCCGCTGTGAATCGGGCATTTCCAGTAAAATGTCCGTTAAAATTACGACAAAACTTTTACTAGTCTTATTTTACACAAACCAAACTAATAATGTATTACTGGAATAAATAACAAAGATTAATATCATGTATATATTTCTGGTTCCAAAAAAGTGTACATTTGCTAGTATAAAAATATGGGTTAGTTTAAAAATTGGTAAAACAATAAGATTTTGAAATTTGTCCTGAAATTAGTACACAGGGCCGCACACAGTATCACAGGAAAATGCGGCAAAGTACAATAAATGCTCATTAATATTAAGTAGTTCTTACTTTCGACAAAATTAAATGCGACCAAGGGATAAAGTCATCTTAAAACTAAAGATCTTAGAGTAACCGTATATATATACAATGAAGGAGGGATTGTAATAAATCTGTATAATGTACAGAGCACTGTAAAACAGATAGGGAACAGAAAATATTTCGTATTTGTGACGGAAAGTGGTCGAGGGAAGGACGAAGGTTGAATGGATCTGAGAATATGAAGGATTCTGGTCGGATCCTCTGAATCTACATTATTAACTTCAAGTTACATATTCTCAAACTGATCAACTCGTCTCTTCGTGTTTCCTAAAAAAGACAAAATTCAAAATTTAAAAATAAAGAATAGAATTAAAATGAGGAATAGTAATAGAGTAAATAAGTCAAAAGAAATTTTTAAGTATTTGGCTAAAATGATCTAAAAGAATCTTTGGATAAAAATAAAAAAATTAAATTTTTTTGATTTATTAATTTCAAGAAATATTACCTTTTCTGACTTCTCTGAGAGTTTTATATTTATCCCTTCCCTGCTTCACGTTTTCTTTATGAATTTTATCCATAGTTGTCTCTTGCTGAAATAATTATAAAAAATTAATAACCTTCCAATGACGTTTTTTTTCTTTGTCTGTTCCTGAAGTCCTCTCAAAAATTCCCCAACGCGCAAGAACGTTTGAGTTATTTTTTTGTCGTTCAATAATAGGGAAAATTTTTTTTGAAGAGGAATTAATTTATAACGGGAAACTACAATTCTAAATAAAATTCTTAAAATGAAAACCTAAATGTTTTCAAAATTAACCAAGGGAAAAAATACAAAATTCCAATCAATTATAAAAATGTAGGTAAAATGTGAAAAAAGAATATTTCAATGGGCGATCAAGGTTCAGCGATAATATCTTAAAAATTCCGACATTTTTCGTTGATAAAATAAATTGGAAAAACTTGAGAAAATAATTTAGCTGGACCAAGATAAAGACGGATCCAGGATTCGGATAAATTGAATGGATCCTAAGCCCTGAATGAATACCTGGTCGTCTCTAGTGCTTGCTAGATCCTCCTTCAAGGATTTGAGTTGACTCTGCAGTCTTTCATTCTTCTCCGCTAGTGTGATGCGATCCTGCAAATTTAAAAAAAAACATTATTTAAATTGAAAAAAAAATTGAATGCATGAACATTGAACATTCTCTTTTTTGCAAAAATGTGAAGCACACTTCACTTTAAAATTAAGCTAAACAGAAAAATTGGTCGCAACAAAATAATTTGTTCATTTCTAAATATTTTGTAATTAAAAGGAAATCCTTACTTACATCCTCCTAGTGGTGCGTGGAAAAGAAAAAATGTAAAAACTTTAAAAAAAAATTACTTATGATGATAGTGTAATTTTTGTTGTTTTAAAGAATATTAGAATTAGGTTCGATGTGATAGATTTACTTACATTGACAGGATCGTTAAGATCGTCGTCATCATATCTGAGATCTCTATTATTAGAATCACCGTTCATCATCATTTCGTCGTCTTCCTCGTCGTCCTCCGTCTCCTGAACAATCAGCAAAATATTTAATTTTCAGATTTAATTCTTATATAACCATCACCGAAAACTGGATGTCCCGAGAAACAGAACTCATTAAAATTTTTCAGAAATATTAAAATTCCCACAATTTGAGATTTTTCTCAATTACAAATTTTTGAACATAAATTCAGCGACTTTAATACAAAAAAAACTATTTAAATAATTTGATTCTGAACAGAATTATAATGGAAGTTTGTTTATTGGGACACCACGTTCGAAACACTGTTTAATATGAAAAGTGCTACACATAAAACTGTGCAATTGTAACTGTATTCGATTCACAGTGAATTGAATTCAGAAATTTGAATACATTTAAAAATCACTCCAAGACAAAAGCAAATATTATGTACAACAACAAATATATCTCCCTGTACAGTACACTGTACATCAAACTGAACAAATGTACGACCTTTAACAGCATTTTGCTGGTTTGAAAGTTATTTTCTTTCTGATCTGGGAAATATTTCCAGTACTCCGCAATCTTTACAATACACCAGAGTTTAAATGAAATGTATAATAATTAAAAATTATCTTAAGATGCCAAATTTGGAAATTTTTGAACATTTTTAAATGCCGTTAGATTTTTATAAAAAGTTCAAAACAGCTGTGGATGTAATTGAATTTTGAATCAATCACTTTAGAATTTTAAGAATCAATCTAGAAAACATTGTTGACGTCAATAAGATTGTTAAAACCCTTACAAAAGGATGAACATAGTTTAACCGCTTCTGGAATTTATAAATTTCCATCTCAGTTCAGACATTTAGCAATTAATATAACGTGATATTTAGACTAATGAAATATAAAATTTTGTGTTTTAATTAATCTTAATTAAAAAAGGTCAAAAATTAAAATAATATTTTATTTTAACCTGTAAATGGTGATGTTTAGGTGTAGTACTGGCTTCAATGAGAGCCTGGCTTGCCTCCTCCTGTTTTTTCCTTGCCAGTTCCATTTCCTCCTGGAGCAGACGGTTCTCCTCCTCCTTACAACGAACCTGGCTGGAGATCTCTTCAACCTGGAACAATTAAAAAAATCAACACATAAGTTTTTTTGTAGACACAAAAATCCAAAGCCGATACTTAAGTATTCTGTTCACAACGCGTTCAGGCAGCAAGGAGTACCCCTCTTTTAAGACACGGCGGCGGTTTCATATAGAAAACAGGCCCCCCTTTATTAATTATTTTATCCTAACCAGAACTATTAGCCTCTTTATTTTTGAAGTTAAAAAATATTTAACAAAAAATACATCGCTTCAAATAGATTATTAAGTGCAATAGCTGGCAACGGAGAAATGAACCAATTATACATGACGTCACAAGAGTCAAATATAAAAAGGAAGACAAAATTATTTGACATGTGTCCAAGATTAAATAAAGAAGTGCAGAAAAGAAAATAAAGAACACAAAATTGCACTCAGTTCACTGTAAGATAAGCACTTTATCATCACTATAATTGATATTTTTGTGAACACATAAAACTGTGACGTAAGAAAACAGTTGTACTGAGAGTGTACAAATTCTACGTTGCCATCTATTGTAATTGATATTCTATTTACATCACTCAAAAACTAACTGCATCGCTTAAAAACTAACTGCAAGTAATTCAATCTGCACAGATATTTCTTTTGCTAACGTTAGGATTTTTGAATGATAAAAATCAAAAGAGGTTTTATCAATTCACGGAAAGGATTTATCATTCGACTCCTTTCGGAAGAGGTTCCTACAGTGGTAACCAGAAACTGAGTAAACCGGAATAAAGGGACTGTAAGCATAATTTCAACTGACCCTCTATGTAAAGACTTGGCATGGAGAGTCACTTTAAATTACGCTTACAGTCCCATTAATAATTAAAATAGGAACCTATAAGGATTTTGTAATAAGTAATTGTAATGTTATAAACTTACAAATAACAAAATCCTTAGTGAAATTTTATAAAAAGAATATCCGACCTCGTTTCTCTTCTGATAGATCTCAGATTCAAGTCTAGCTCTCTCCTCTGCCTCGAGGTTCTTGCTCTCCTCCAGCCTCTGCATCATCTCGTGCAACTCCCTTTGCTGTTTCTCCAGCTCGTCCTTGGCCACCTGGGTCTCACGGAGCTGGTCCTCCAGCTTCCTGATGGTATCCTGAGCCTCAATCAGCTCCCCTTGCCTCATTTCCATCTCGGATTTCATGGAACGAAACCTCTCCTCAAACTCAGCCTAAACAAATTATTTAGTTAAATTCAGACAAAAAAGAAACTGATGTGTCTCAAATTATCAAAATTCATAAAAATGTAAATATTGAACAATAAAAAATAACAAATAAAAAGAGAAAATAAAAATCAGAAACCAATATTGTGTTTCATGAGTTTGGACGAATACTCTGCTTTACTCTGGATTCTGATTCGTAAAGTTAGAGGAAAAGAATGATTCAAAAATAAACAAATTATTGTGGAAACAAACTTAAAAATGTAAATTAATTCTAGGTGCATCTCTTCTATTAAAGCCCAGATACAAGATCCAGGTTTATTCCGATTATTCCTTTATCTCACATTGACATCTTGACATCAGTAATATAGGAACTTGAAGTGAAAAGTCATTACCACCCCNATCACCACTTACAAATCAAATCTGAAGGAACTGGGACTGTATGCGTAATTTCAAGTGGCCCTCAACGCAAAGATGGCATTTCACAACGGTAGCCTTGAAACCTTTATCTGATCAAATTCTGGAAGATCCCATCTTAAGTGTAATTTTAAGTTTTTAATTCTGTGTTCCTCCATTGCTTCTTATAAGCAAGAAATGCGCAAGTCACTTTCGCACATAACCGCATTTAGAAATTAACAGTTAAAAGAAACAAAAACATTAATATCTGATTCATACTTTCAGACAAAGCTTTTAGGGTACCGTTATAAATCGTGCATTGCCATCTTTGCAGTGAAGATAAACTAACAGTCCCTCTAATGAAAATAAATTCCAAATAATTCAGAAATGTCGGGGCTACATCAACAAATAAAATAAAGGAGGTGGTAGCTCTTTGACTTGTACACTTTCTGTAATTGTTGTTTTCCTTAACTGTAGTCGTAAATAATACTTTTCATTCGGGGTAAACTACAAATAGTATGCCAGGGGTGTCAGTCTAGTATTTTTTTTTTATTGAGGGCAAAAATCTACACTTTAGAATTTTTAAAATTACTAAATGTTTGATTTTACAAATAAGATTCATTTCTTCTATTTTTTCGAAAAAAAATCAGAATTTGCTAGATTGGATGAGGAAATAATCTACGTTAATTTAAAAAAATAGGTGTCTGACAAAAGTGTTTGTCTGCTAGAGTTACGCAGACATCGCACAATTATCTTATTTTTGATTTGACAGTTGTACCCAGTTTGTACTTCACCATACAAGTCGGCCAAGAAATAGAAGAGGAAGAAACATTGAGACTAAAAAAAGTGCTCACAAATGTACTGAAACTGATATTATTGCAATAAAGAATTTCTTTTGGATATAAAAATAAGTTTAATTTTGATGAAAAATCTCTAACTTCCTCGATCTTTATTTGTATTCAAAATCCACTGTACAACGAAATCATGTCAATGTACTTCCTTGGGTTTCAAGTATGTAAGAAGTACATGGTTTATTGATTTACGGGCTATGTTGTAGGGAGGACAGTTTATTAAAAAGTTTTTCTTATTATTGAAATAAAAGTGAATACAAGGGAATTTTTTGTTGAATGTTTGTCGAATTTTACACACATTTTTAATGATAATATTTGTGTAGAAAAATACAAATACAGTTTAGGAAAGTAATTAGTGGATCAAAACACCCATGTCCAGAGAATTACCAACTCTTTTAACAGACCAATTATGTCTTTTTAACATTTTCAATTTGCGACTACAATTTGACATTGGACCAGCAATCTTATTTACTTTTTGTACTACAAAAACCGGTTTAGGACGTTTATAATATTTAAAACTCTTTAATTTAGCGCATCATGATATCTTAGAAACAAAAATGCCACAGCCTAAAATTTCTTAGATAAACCATTTAACGAGACAAACATTTTTTATTTGAAGGAATTTTACAGGGGACTAAACCCCATTGCCCCCCTCACCAGGTATAATGTATGAACCCTGACCAGCCAAACTTGCCAAAAAGGGCCTAGCCATGTCCCAAAAAAAGTTTCAACCATTTATTATGCATGCATAGGTTTCTACCTGCATTCTCTCCGCCTTTTCTCTGAGTGCGATCTCTCTTTGTAGTTTCTCCCTTTCCTGAGCTTTAGCCAGCTTTTCCTCCTTGTTCTGCGCTTTCATCTGCTGAACTTCAATTGTATCAGGTTTCCTAGACAAAATATAATCTAAAGGGACTGGCAACGTTTTTTCTAGTGACCCCATCAATAACAGAGTTACATGCCCGATTCACAGCGGTACTCATACAACCTTTATCTAGCAAAACATACTATTATATTATTACATATTAAAAACACACTTCCGTACAATCAATTACTAAATCTTTCTTTTGTACACCTTTTTTGTTGTACTTCGTTCGTATTTCAGGAATCCCATCCCATCCCATCCCATCCCATCCCATCCCATCGCATCGCATCGCATCGCATCCCATCCCATCCCATCAATATATTTCTTTATTTATTTGCATTTAACCCCATATAAACTAAAATACTATGGTTAATTTTAAACACTTGAGTAAGTCAAGAAATTTACCGTCACTAAACAAATAATTCTTTTGTTAACTCCTTTTACAGTGTAAATGTAAACAGAAAACCGAGGATTATGCAACGGTTGAAAACTTGACAAAATTACTAGTCATGAACTCAAGATTCAAGGCTAACCATTCACCAGTATTCCAGAATTATCCCGAAACTAATCAGGTTATCACAAATCATTAAATAGGCCTGGTAGTATAAACGTAACAAATAACATTTTTCTTGTAATAATCTTATCTTAGATTTGTATAAATATATTGTTTAGCTTCAGTTTAGTCACGAGTTAAAGTAGAAGATGACGAATTAAAGAAATAAAATCGTCACATTTTATTACTTCAAGATAAATAAGACAAGAATTTTTTTTCCATGAAAGTAAGCTGATATCTAGAGGAAAATATTGAGAGGGATACTGCTTACCTTCTCCTCATGTAGAGTTCATGATTACCCATACACAATGTGAGAATACGCTTGTTTATCCGAAGACGCGGAGCCAAAAATACAAAGTCAGGAGCTTTCTTGTCAATCGGCTAAATATCATTTTATATTAAAAATGAGTAATGACCCTTCATAAAATGTTTGTTAGAAAGGTTGACCTTACATAAAAAAAATTTGAACATCTGACTGAATGAGACGTATTCTTAAAACATTTTAACGCTACAAATAACTCATTTTCAGAAGACGAAGGATGCCATACAAGCCAATTAAATCACTGACCAATTTAACAATTTCATCTCAATATTTATTAACGACAAAATCACATACCAGCAATGTAAATGACGGAAAATAAACTGTCCACCGCGGATTTGGTCTTGATTATAAAACTTAAATAAGTCAAAATTACCTTGATGACGAACTTTCTATCGTTGAAGGAGATGTTTCTGATTTCCGACCAGGGAAACCCAATCTTAGGAGAGAGCCGGTCATCTTTCTCGTAGATATTTAAACCCAGAGCATCAACTCCCAACCAGAGTTCAGTTCCTTTCTTGTTCTTGATCTCAAAGTAGTTGACTCCGTACATCTCCAGATCCTGAGCTATCTTGAGGTATTCCATCATAGCGTCCTCCCTCAACATACCCTTATGCTCTCCATACCTAGATCAGGAGCACATAACAAGTTAAATCTTGACCGGGGTTTCCATTTTTTCCAGGATTAGTTTGGTTTTACATAGGCCTGACAGAACCTTTCCTGAATCTGTTGTAGATTAGTCTTAATTCGGTTAAGAAAGGTTTCAGCCCGGTCTTAATTTCCCAAAGTTTTAGTGGTTCATTAATCTTAAAAGGGCTGTGAAGGAAAATGAAAGGGGGTATAGGCTAAAACCTAGGAACTTCAGAAGTTGATCGAGACCCTTAAGAGTTCTATCTCATTATACCAAAACTTCTGTATATAAGATTAGGTTTAAGATTCTAAGTTTTAAACAGTATAGGTCTCGATCAACTCCTGAAATTCTTAGGCTTCAGCCTATACCCCCTTTCATTTTTCCTTAACAGACCCTTTAACAGTTTCAGAAAAAGGTTCCTTCCGGCATTAACGGAACCAGATTGATCCGGGGAAAAAAAGTTTGAAACTCTAATCTTGATCTCCTTGAAATAATCAGAATATTAAAATATAATTGCACTCTATATCAATAGAGAATTTGTAAAATTTAGTAAGGTTAATACATTTTACAGAGTAATAAAAGAACTAGAGGTTATTGTGTATAAATAGTATATTAAGCAGAACTTGATTTAACATTTATATTTAGGTAGAACCCACATGTGACGTCATGAACTTGAATATACTAGGCTTTCTTCAATTTTATAAATAAATAATAAAAACTCAAGATAAGGATTTGTTATTTTAACATCATACTTTTCATAATTTTTATTTTATATCGATCTATCTAACAAGATAAGCTCTAAAATTCGGTGATATGGTGATGGAACAAACCTCTATAGAGTAAGTAGATGTTAGTTCCACATTTTATTGAAAATATATTTGAGTCTGGGTTGAACCTTGTCGGTTCTTGAGATTTGTTTCTGCCATGAAGTTCCAGGACAATAATTGGCAAAATAAGAAACTATGAAAATTTTAGATGTACTGAAATCGAAATTAACCATGGCAAGTTCTAGGTTTATTTAATGATTTGAAAAGATTTCTTCTTGATTTATGTCAAAAGATTCCGTACAATCGTCTCCGACGTCTCATTCTTTTTAAGTAACCCTGTATGCTAACTGAAAAGAGGTTCTTCAAGTTTTTATTTGAAAAGGAATAATCACGGGTTAAGTTCCAATAATAAATTTAAATGGCCAAAAATCCAATAAAAAAGGGTCAACTCACCAGTTAGTAATTCTTTCCTCCCATTCTTCTCTTGTCAACTTATGCTGTTGGGTAACTCGGTCCGGTAATAATCTAAAAAATAAAAAATAATAAAAAGCAGTGCTTAGGATCCATTTAATTTTGATGCGGATCCGGATCCAGATGCGGATCCAGGTCATTTATTTAAAATTTACATAATTTGCTCTATTTTTTTCGCTTGTTTTTATTCCAAAACTTGATAACCCATTCAGAAATGAGGAAATTTTTAATCTCACTTTTTTCAAAAGTTCAGAATTGGGGTTTAGAAGTTAAGCTTTTTTTCAGTTTTTGGTTGATATTTTACCCCTTGGATCCGGATCATTGGATCCGCATATTTTTGCGGATCCGGATCCAGGAAGCCAAAATCTTGCGGATCCAACGAATCCGGATCCTAAGCACTGAAAAAAGAAATATAAAGTTAATGAGATCTGTATAAAATATTCGCTTTAAAATTGGAGAATCATGAAGTTTTTTTCTCAATTTGATCTGCTTTGAAAATGATATTTGGAGAGGAAAAATTAAATTATTTTTTACTATCTGCAAAGGGGGCTTTTTCCTAAAATTTTTAAAATGAATCGACTTATATGTTTACTGCTCGTAAAATCTATTTATCTAGATTATCCATTATCTTGTATTACTATAGATTAAGTAATTGGTCTCTAGATTAAGTGGTTAGTTAAGGAAAAGAATATGCCATTTAGCAGGGGTGTGTATTTTCCTGAAAAATCATAACCCCCCCCCCCCCGGAAAAAAGCTAGGTATGTTTGTGCGGAGGATTAAAAAATTTTAAAATATATATATGTATATATACCCCTGATATTTACTGAACAGGGGTGTATATATATATATATACATATATATACACTTCTGATATTTACTAAACAGGGGTCAGATATTTTATGGAAAATGAGGAACGATAAAATTATTTAGTTCAGACTACTATCAATGTTAAGTTACAAATTTTCAAAAAGATAATGAAGAAACAGGCCAAATAGATTTTAAAATTAAGGCATTATCGGAAACATATTTAAAGGGACTGTCAACGTAATTTCCAAAAAGATAATGAAGAACCCGGCCAAATAGATTTTAAAATTAAGGCATTATCGGAAACATATTTAAAGGGACTGTCAACGTAATTTCTAGCGTCCTTCTTGGCCTCGAATGAAAGAGTTCCAAACCAGATAAAAACGATAACCGTGGTCTACTAAATCATATCAAATAATTAGGAGTCCTACTATCTACCCCCAAACTCCAAATAACGTCGATTGTGATCTAAAGATCAATTCGTCAGTTTTCCATCATTGTATTTGCTGGATAAAGTAACCAAAAGAAAACTGCAATTGAAGTTATTCCGTCAAATGTTTCAAGGGTGCTGTTGTGAATCGTGCATGTAACTTTATAAAATGGATCGTAGGGTCACTTGAAATTACGTCGACAGTCCAATACCGATGAACAAAAAAACTGGACGTATGTTCAACCTGCTAACTCATTTATGAACTAATTTAAAAAAAAAATGTATTTAAAATCTAACCTGTCATTAGCCAGGAATCCTGGTTGATGAAGATCCTTCTGAAAATCTCCATACTTGGCCTAAGCAGTGAACAATGGATATTATTTATATACGGAGAATTTAAAGTTTAATGCTAACATTCATTAGAACTCGAGTATTTAGGGGTCAGTGATTAACAGATAAAATACCGGACAGTGTAGCTAGCTGGTAGTACGGTGTAGCTAACTAGTAGGACGGTGTAGCTAACTAGTAGGACGGTGTAGCTAACTAGTAGGACGGCGTAGCTGTCGAGTAGGACGGAATAAATACATAGATTGGATAGAATACCTGGACGGTGTAACTAGAGTAGGAAGGATTAAATACCTGGACAGTGTAACTAGAGAAGGAAGGATTAAATACCTGGACAGTGTAACTAGAGAAGGAAGGATTAAATACCTGGACGGTGTAACTAGAGAAGGAAGGTTTAAATACCTGGACGGTGTAACTAGAGTGGGACGAATTAAATACGTGGACGGTGTAACTAGAGTGGGATGGATTGAATACCTGGACGGTGTTACTAGAGTGGGATGGATTCAAAGATAATATATATATAGATATGCAGGCAGGTATAAATTTAGAGGTCTTGAGAAAAGGTGCAAACAGCACCATCTCTGTCGTACGCATGGCATTTTATTCTCTGTGTTGTTGCTAATTTATCACTTTGTTTATGCGTGATAACACTAAATGCGTACTATAGTATCAACAATGTATACTGCATATTGTACTTAATGAAACAAATTAATCAATGCAAATAAAACTGAGGTAGGAGTTTTACTAGACAAAGTTTAAATGTGCAAGTTGTACTGAATGGCATACGTAAATTAACGCAATTTAAATAAAAATCATTACTATAAAAGTACATCGAATCTAGGACAAAGTACAACTGATCTGATCATAACATAAACAAAACGCTTACTGTATGTTTGTGTTACCTTGAAATTTAATTTTATTGGTCAAACAGGTCCAGATAGCAACACTTGAACTATACAGGATGCAATACGCGTACTGTATGGGTATATAACACAAATGCGTATTTCCTACAGAAGGCAGCAAGGGGAGAAAGGAATATAGAAAGTAATCAATTTGCTATAGATGTCTCCTTGCACTTTTTCTCAGAGGTTCAAAAATTAGTTGTCTGCTACAAGCAATTTAGGAAGGAGGTTTCTACCTGCCTGCATATCTATATATATATTATCTTTGGATGGATTAGACACAGATTGAATACCTGGATTGTGTAACTAGAGTGGGATGGATTAGACACAGATTGAATACCTGGACTGTGTAACTAGAGTAGGAAGGATTAGACACAGATTGAATACCTGGACTGTGTAACTAGAGTGGGATGGATTAGACACAGATTGAATACCTGGACGGTGTAACTACAGTGGGATGGATTAGACACAGATTGAATACCTGGATTGTGTAACTAGAGTGGGATGGATTAGACACAGATTGAATACCTGGACGTTGTATCTAACGTTGGACGGATTGAAAAACTGAACGGCGTAGTTAGCTAATAGGACGGATAGAATACTAGGACGGATTGAATACAAATACTGATAAGCTAGTGAGTAGAACGGATAAATTACCTGGACGGCGTAGCTGGCGAGTAGGACGGATGTTTCTGGAGGGCAGTAGATCTCATCGGAGAGGATTGCGTGTTTAACCTTAAAATAGTTTTGATATAAAACATTGAACAATAGTTCGAGATATGTTATATCTTTTCCGAAGATACAAATTTATCTGATCTTTGATCGAGAGCTAGGTATAAAAAATGTATTAACGGGTTTCAACGTTAAAAAATATTATCCATAAAAATTTTAATTCAGACATACCATCAACTATTAGGATAACAGTAATAATTATAAAAATAATAATGATACTTGTACCTGTAGATAGAAAAGTCTGAGTGTGATATCTTGAATTATCTCCTCTGCTACATCCTCTGGGTAGAATTTGGCTCTGAACTTGAACTGAAGCGGAGTCTCCTTCTTCACGTCCTGGCTGAGCACCTTCTTGTTAAGCTTGAGCCAGGTAGAGAACCCCTTGGAGTCTGTGTACTGCAGACCAAAGAACCAGATCTCTCGCAGACCAATAGTTTTAACAACCTGGAGCAAAAATGGTGATAAAAATCTGAGGTCTAACCTTTCGAGGTTTTAACCCTTTCAGAGAGCTATAATTTGTAATTTTTTGTTAATTACGGGAAAAAGAGTTTAACATGTTTCACAGAAAAATGAAAACCCCATCCTATCTCCGACAACCCTTATTATTTGAAAGATCGCAAACCAATAGTTTTAATAACCTTGATCATAAATAGGTGATAAAACTCTTGAGGTTGAATGTTTTTTTATTGTTTATCCTATGAGAGAGCTGAGAGAGCTAACATCCGTATTTCTATATGTTAATTCTCAAGACACATCAGAAACAAAAACTGCTCTTGGTCAATGAGATATTGAGGGAAAACGTGTTTACTGTTTATCCCGGGAATATGTTCAATCGTAACAAACGTACGCGCATTGGAGATGAACAATCCGTCATTTCTCCAGTAACTCTGATCATTTGAAAGATAAATCATTTCTTTTTATTCTTGACAGTTAAAACTAGGGTTTCGGAAACACCAGGATTACATTTGACAGAATACTAATTTGACGAGATGCTGGTTATATCGGCCTACCTGATCAAAAAGCTGCTTCCCGGTGGTGTTCGGCTGGATCGCGAACTCGAGCTCAGCGTCAATCGTCGTCACACGGACGTTTACCGGCTTCACCATTCTCAGGCTCGACTAAGGCACTATTGTAAATACTGTCTGAAAATAATTAATAATTTTAAGGATTTTATTAAAAAACGATCCCAACACGAGCCCGTTTTAACAGTCGTTTTTCCATTTTTTAAGATAAAAAATGTTGTTAAGTTCAATAAAAGCAGTTTTGAAAAAACTAACCAAAACCCTGGATTCGGATCAGCAAAAATGTGCGGATTCGCGGATCCGGATTATAAGGGAAATAAGGAATGAATCCTTTCTTCTGCTCGAGTTTATTTTAGAAAATGGTAAAATGTGTCTGAAATGCCTTTTCTAAAATGAACAGAGAAGGCGGAAAAGTTCACTTGGTTAAGTTTCTTGTTTTAAGGAGTACAACCGTTTTCAATTAAGCACATAAACAAAAAAAATTCTACAGATTGCAGCTTTCTCAGTTGATATCACAATGTAAAATAAAAATTATTTTTAAATCGTTACTCAATTCCCATGTTTATTGGGACACCCTGTAGCTTCTACAATGTACAACAAATGGAGCACATCTTTCCCCTACTATTCCTTATCATTTAGTTTGTTAATGATTTGAACCTGGTTTCCAGGATGTTTACTTTTCAATTGTTTCTCATAAATTATTTTTTTAATACTATCATGATAAATTTGATCAGAATGAATGCTTGAGAATCATTGAGTGTGAGGGGGGCGGGAGACAGGAATCAATAATATAACTTACCCAAATACAGAATTTCCCCAACACGTTAAAAAATTGTACATATATCACAGTTTTCCAGCAATTGAAAAGATAAATAATTTTTTAAATAACAAAATGGTTGAAAAAGCATTTTATCATTCTTCTTAAAAAAAAAACATTTAAAGAGTAAGTATATTCCTAAGGTTTTGACAAGTATTAGTTTCATCATACTTGAAGCCAAAATGTGATCTAATGGATCTAGATCCTAAGCTCAATTTTAGTTTTTTTAATTTCTTCATACAAAAGCTTTAGTTTGAGGGCGAAGATACAAACCGTTACGGTTGGGGTTGGCCACTCTGTTTGTTTTTGTATTATTTGATGGTTAGGTTAGGTTATGACAGCCTAGGGGACCGAGTGCTGCAGCTAAGACAGCATAGGGGACCGAGAACCGCGGCTAGGACAGGATAAGGGGCCGGGCGCTGCGGCCACAAGTCCATCTAGCAGCTGTAAAATGCCGTAACCAGTCAAACCCAACCGTAACAGGTTTGTATCACCGACTAGTTTAAGTGTATTAAGATAAATGATTCTTTAAGTACTAATCACTACTAAGCCTCGAACAGTTAAACTGGTGAAATGTTGAAACCCCACATTTTGTTATCTTTACGATGTGATAATCAAATAATTGTCGTGAAACATTTTCATCATGAAGTAAACCGCCTTATCTTTCAATTCTCGACATTTTCTTGGGAAATAAATGAAGTATCTTTTTTCTATGTTTCGCTCGCTCCGAGAGGTTTAATGCATTGAAATCTGTTCAATTCACACGTCGCATAAGTGTGTATGTAGTGTAATCATAATTTTCTCAGGAATTGACATGTATGCGAAGAAACACAGGATGAATTTCAATTTGATGAGGATTCAATATAAATTAAAAACTCTTTGTTTTGCTAATTTCTAACCAAACATAACTTTCCGAAATTTTTATTTTCTGTTTCCGCAATTTGTGTGCAGAAACTTACAATTCCACGATTAGGAAGGTTTTAATTGTATTTCATTGGTTGACAATAAAAATACGGTCTTAGAAAGCAAAAAGTTTTTTTTTCTCTCGATGTTTTTTAGTTGAAATTTTGTCACTTGATCAGAATCCGTGGATCCGCATAATATTGCGGATCCAATTAATCCGAATCCTAAGCAAGGAGAGAACTTGAATTAAAATGTGTAATGAAGGTGTTCACTGTAAACTGAGTGAGAGTAAGAATTGCCAGATGTTTTCTTTTCTTCCGTAATTCTCAGTACATTACTCCCAGTCCTCGGTTTAGAGTAGAATTAAGGAAACTAAATAATTAAATATAGGAATTTATACATTTCTATCCTGTTAAAGGGACTGTAATTTCAAGTGACCCTCCATGCAAAGATGGCAATGCGTGATTCACAAAAGTACCATTGAAACCTTTATCTGATCTCTGACGTGATTGTCGTAGTTCTAGGTTTAAAATTGTTTAATTTTTGATAATTGCTGCAGTGGAAATGCGACAGTCACTTTTGTAAAGAAACCACAATAGAAAATAATTAGTTTTCAAAATTATTAATATTGATATCTGATACTTAATCCTACAAAGCTTTAAAGGGTACCGTTTTGAGTCGGGCCCTACCGTCTTTGCATGGAGGGTTATTTCAAATTACACTTACAGTCCCTTTAATACCCTCGACCCCCTCCCTGTTAACAAACCCTGAGTTGTATTTCTAAAATCTTTGTTTTTCTCTACATGTCCCACAGTATATAATTCTTACATAATGACTAAGCAATGACAATAAATTTTTGTTTGTAACATTTCACACATAAAAACCACAGAGATTTCGTTCAATTTCTTCCTAATATATGAACTAAGTATATATATATATTGGTTTCTTTTTAATAACACCCACTAACCCTGTCTTAAACTTTATTAGAAAACCCAACAAATTGTTTCTTTGTTGACCTGAAATTCCGTGATCATCGAAGCAGGTCTAAAAATGCCATAAATCTTAAAACAATCTTTCTTTCCAGTCATGACCTGCTAGTCATGACCTGCTATCAAGGTATCAAGTTAAAAAAGGGGATGAATCGGACCCTACCCACCCCCCTTCCTCTTTAAGCTGTTCAATCTGAATACCCCCCCCCCCTCTCTCCTGGCACAGAACGTCTGCTGCAGGGTTGGGAAATCCAAAGGTTTGGAGTTGCTGAGAACTTTTAATTTGTGTAAAAAGTTCTCCATGGACATAATTCTATACCGCTGAATCCTGGATTATCCTTCCTTGATTCCTTACCCAGAGATTTGATGATTCATCCTGCCAACTCAAATCATAACATTAACTCAACAAATGTCCAGGATACCGACGCGAGCAGTTCATATTTTCCGCTCATATTCAGAGAGAATGATTGGGGGACATTATGGCGTTCCAGGGGCGTAATATGACCTTTCAGTGAGGGGGGGGGGATTTAACAATTTGATAATGCACCAATTTTAACTGAGCAGGAAAAAACTAGCACCATTTCTGGAAAAATCCAAAACTGTAAATGCAATCATAAATTAGCGGAAGGTCGAGGGGGGGCTTTAACAAAGGGGGGTTGTGTGTATAGAATTACATAAAGGAACAGTATGGAGTTGGTGAATGTGAAATAACCGAGTTTGCGTGTGTAAAATTGAAAACTAAGGTACTTGAAATATAGAGTTGGTGAATGTGAAATATCCGAGTTTGCGTGTGTAAAATTGAAAACTAAGGTACTTGAAATATAGAGTGGCGTATACAGGAGTCCCCACCCCCCCTTTATGGTAACAGGGGAGGGGAAAACGACCGACCCCCTCCCCCATTAATCCTCTGGCTAACTGCATTCATACAACAGCATTTTCCGTACATTTTCCCCAAATTTATCTTGTAAGAAGACACATTCCATTCATGCGGAATTACTGGTATGACATGGCGACCTTGTAACACCTGTAGTTAACATTTTACACACAAAAAATGAAATAATCAAATGAGAATTTCAACACTTCTGATCAGGAATTTTCAAAAATAGTGGTTTCCAAATTAACTAAATTTAACCCCCCCCCCCCCGTGTCCTGAACACACCCCTGATGGCAATGACAGTTTAAAATGCTCTTTTGTCTCGTAATTGATGATTAAATGTTAGTTGCTATTTGCCTATTTTGCTTCATGCCATTTTGGTATTTGCCATATTTTAGTCTGAGCATGGAGTAACTACAAGATAAAAATCAAGATAAACCTGGTTGCTGGTGGTCCTCCAGTTCGCGTGTTTCTCATCAATGGTTTGTGATGCCGAATTATCTCTAGATTAATTAACATATGTAGTTTTATGTACTTTTATACAGTCAAATCTATAGTACATGTAGTCCGTGTCGTTTAAAAAGTCTGTCGTTTATGTAGTCTGTACAGTCTGTGTAATCTTTGCAGTCTGTGAAACCTGTGCAGTCTGTGTCGTCTGTGTAGTCTATTTCTATTTCCAGAAATGTATCTAAGTTAATCCTGATATATAACAGTATAGCGATATTACAACAAAAACCGTATCCTTTTATGCAATCTTAATTCTATATTTTAATATGTACTCTTTTTTATTATTTTCATATTAGAAAGCATATTTGTCAAAATTATCAAAATGAATATTGAATAATCATACAGAACCAAGACTAAAAAATAAAACAATGACTACAAAAAAAAACAAGACTACAAAAACAGAACAAAGGCTACAAAAAAAATAATGACGACTACTCGACCGCATTAAAAAAGGTTCGCCCTGACATAAATAAGGAAAACTACTTTACTTTATACTGCAGAGACTACAAGACTAATCCTTATGTGTGAGAAGTGAAGACGGCTCTCTCTACTGTTTAAAGAAAGGAACAAGGACAACTCCTACTGTAGGAATACTATACTCCTTATGCTTTAAAGACTTCTCCTACCGTATGCAGACTTCTCCTACAGTATGCAGACTATTCCTATTGTATGCAGACTACTCCTATTTTATGCAGACTAATCCTACTGTGTGCACTATGCAGACTACTCCTATTGTATGAAGACTACTCCTATTGTATGCACTATGCAAACATACTCCCATTGTATGCAGACTACTCCTATTGTATGCAGATTACTCCTATTATATGCAAACTATTCCTATTGTATTCAGACTACTTATACTGTATGCAGACTACTCATCCTGTATACAGACTACTCATACTGTATTAAGATTACTCCTACTATAAGCAGGCTACTCCTTCTGTATGAAGACTACTCCCTATGTATGCAGACTGCTCCTACTGTATGAAAACAACTACTCCTTCTTTATGCAGACTACTTCTACTTTATGTTGACTACTCCTTCTGTATGCAGACTACTTCTACTGTATGTAGACTACTTCTACTGTATGTAGACTACTACTACTGTATGCAGACTACTCCTTCTGTGTGCAGTGTGCAGACAACTGCTACTGCATGAAAACTACTTCTACTATATGGAGACTACTCCTACTATATGCATACTACTCCTACTGTATTAAGACTGCTCTATACTGATAATACTCACCTATACTGTGCTGAAGCTCCCAGCAGAACCTGCAGAAGTACTTGAAGCAAGTGAGGTCTCTACAGAAATATGGACCCTGGTTCATAAAAATAATAAATAAAATGAAAGTTATGATAATTTTCTACTTATAGACACAACAGATAGAAGTAAGATTAGTAGCGATCAAAAGCGATTATTTTTTGCCGTTAGCCTATACCCCCTTTCATTTTTCGCGAAAACTCCCTTTAAGGTTTAAGAGTATTATTTTAATGGAGGGTCACACTTAAATCATAAATTCTTAAACGAACAACTCATATTTTAAAATTAATTAAGACAATGTTTTTTTGTGGAGTTATCTTTATACAGCCTACAAGATTATTTTTTTCTGATGGATTTCAAAATATTAAATTTGTTCATAGATCTTAACTTTAATTATGCCCATAAAAACTTAAAGGGGATGGTGGAGTTGGCACATTTGATGTAGGGGGGGGGGGGCCTGCCTTCATTTTTGGTTCAAATCTTCCAATTTTTTGGGTGCACGCCTAATTAGGGTTCGAAATTCCTATAATAAAATAAAATTGAACTTTAATGACCTCTAATGACCTCTAATGACCTC